CGAATTGAAACGATCTGAAGACAAGACTCGTGAACTTCAAGTAAATTTTCACGACTGAACTAAAAATGTGCAGATGAACGATGACTATTTTTCTTTTAGTCTCAATGTGAATCACGGCAGAGTGAGATTGCCTCTTTGCAAAGTGAACTTGCGAGTTTAGTAGATACGAACGAAGAGAATACTCGTCGGATAGATGAATTTGAAAATGAAAAGTTCAATCTCGAACAAGAAATTATCGAGAAAGACCGACAACTCGATGAATTGAATGAGAAAACTGTCGAACTCGAATCAGATCTCAAACAGGCACAAGAAAGTGGAGCAAAACTACGTAAAGCATTACAAAAAATGAAAGAATCAGTGGCAAATAAAGAACAAAGCAATGTGCAAGATACAGGTAACGTTTTTGACGAAAGTATCGATCCTTTTTCTATCATTTTGGGATTTACGCAGAACAGCAATTGAAGAAAACCGTGGAGGAATATGAACAACGATTGAGAATACAAGAAAAAGAATATGATTCGAAGTTGAAAGCAATGGCAAAAGAAATGAATCGACAAATTGAGGAACGAGAAGCGAATTACCATCAACAATTAAGCGATCTAAAGCGTAAATTCGACCATTTCTATAGTTACAGTGTTTCAAAATGGTGTTTTTTAGGTAAAAATCAGCAAATCGAACAAGAAGATGTCTCTAAATGGGAACAGAAAGTATCTGATGCAGAAGAACGTGCTCTGAATGCTGAACGAGAGATGTCGAAGTTGCATGAACAGCTGAAAGTTTGTTTAGTTAATCTCTTGAAGCCATTCAATCGGCATCTATTCTCTAGGAGAAACAGCTGGAACATTATCGAGCCACACAAGACTTGCAAGTTCAAATACACAAGCTACAAAAACAACTTCCTCAGTAAATGTTCATATTTAATTAATTTCAAATTAAAAACATACACGTTCTTTTAGAACGGCTGACGGTTCTACTCAAACTATCATCGAAGGTAATTATTTGTCTTTGTATGATGATCGACAAACTACTCTTGTAGCAGAAAATGACTTACATTCATTTCTATCTGCACCGACGGAAGTTGACTACTTGAAACAGATTGTACTTGCATATATGATTGGAAAAGATCAACTAGTAAGTTAAATAAATTTATATAAAAGCACAGAACAAAATGGCTTATTCTTCATTCCATTAGACAATGGCCAAAGTTATCTGTGCGGTTCTTCGTTATACCGATGACGAAAAATCGTTGATACTAGAACATGAACGACACCGTCATTCTGTAAGTTTTTCTGAACACACGAACATTCTATCGATATTTTGTTTTCTTTAGAGTTGGCTCAACTCAATAAAAACATAGTCATCGGCTTGATTAGATTCTCTTCTTATTCTAATTGGAACTTTTATTTATTTATTACAAATGGAGACTGGATATATTCAATTTTATTGTTATAAAAAAGAAAAACAATACTTTTCGTTTTTCTTGCTTTGTTTTTGATTATAATTGTTCTTCCTATAAAGTTATTTCTGAAAAATATCTCTTGATTAGTGTTTCATTAGAAGAAAGTAAAGTTTATCAATGATTTTAAGCATCATCATCTACGCTTACGGCCATACCACGTTGAATACACCAGTTCTCGTCCGATCACTGAAGTTAAGCAACGTCGGGCTCGGTTAGTACTTGGATGGGTGACCGCCTGGGAATACCGAGTGTCGTAAGCTTTTTTTTGTTTTACTCAATTTTGATACATAAGAACCTTGAATAAAATCATCATCATCATCAATTTGTTTATAAAGTATTTTCATTAACGAAAATCTTTCGATCTGCTGTTTCCAGCTTGAATACCAATGACGTCTCAACGCAGAACTGGTTCCAAGTATATCTGGATATCATACAAGTAACAGCGTTTTGTTGAAACATGGTTTTTTCACTGGCACGTTTTCTACTGAAAGAAATGATACTTGTTTTCACATTGAGATAATCGCTCATTAGTTGTTTATAACTAGCAGTTTTGAAACATGCACTTTCCTTGGAAACTGTGTCAATTGAAAAACTCTGTTCGGATATTTTCGACAGTGTTTTTTTGTTGATGATGGGTGCGAATAGATACTTATTTAGCAGAAAGCATGCATATGTGATTGAACACTATTCTATGCTCTGTAGTCCATTTCAATAAATGCTAACATGATGGATTCCTATCGATGGGTTTAATGGAGAATGCCGGGTAGAAAAACGTCGAAAACACAAAAGGACATATCCGTATATAAAAGCTTTCGTTTTCGTCGGAATTTTCCAACGAACTGTGAATGCTTAATTGTAATGTAACATGCTATATTCCATACAGGATTACGGGGACGTTTGCATATATATGACGTAAATGTATGCTTTCCTTTCTTGGTTTTTTCCTATGTACGTATATCTTCTTTCTACATGTATGTGCATGGATAGATCTCTATCTCCCGTGTCCTCTTCTCTTTCCCTCTCGATCCATCTTTCTCCGATCTTTTCATTTGATGAATTTCAATACGTGAGATAGTGATTTCGCACTGATTTTCCATAAGACATTTTTCTAGAGTGTCGACTATCGAATGCTGATGATCTCTGACGAATATGATTTCTCTTCAATTTGTCACGCAGATGACTAGAATGTTTACGAATTATGCCATTTGATAAAAACCTCCAACATAGATAGGTACAAACTGAGACAATATAATTTACTTTTTTTAGAAACAGGCGTACCGCTTGAAAGATATTAGTGTATTGGATATAGCCAATCGCAACTTCTAGAAAACAGAATAAAGCTTCGAATCAAGCATGGCAACTGGTTTCGACAGCACAACAAAGTGGAATGTAGATTCGTCTATGGCCGAAATACTGGAGGCGATTAAAGGTGCTGGTGCTTTTCAACGTGTAACCGTCGAATATTACGGCAATGGCACTATAGAGGAAAATGCATGGATACACTTTCCTTAGATCTATGTAATCTAGATATGCATTTTGATTTAAAGAATAAAATATATCAGTTTATACAAGACAACTAAGCTTCATCGCTGGATAAAAGAACTCAGGTTTATATTGCCAATGGAAAAAATATTTTAACCAAATAAACTCGAATGACGTATTCAAACTGAACCAAAACCACGAATAGAAAAACGGGAAAATCACACTGGTGTGATTTAAGGAGTAATAAACATGATTTTATAAATATTAGCTAATTTTCCAAACCTTGAATCAGAGTGCAAAAGTATACGTAGTATAGAGTGTATGAATTAGCGTGTGTACAACAGAAATCGCAGATATTCTGTGCACATTCTCTACAAATGAATTTAATACACATTCAAATATTTTCTTGTACAACGGAATATTTCCCTCAAATATAACCTTAAAAGCAATAATGCTAATATGATTCCTAAAACAAAAAAATACGATACTTTTCGTGAATGATGGCGACATCTACATCGTACATCGAACGGACGCAGAAAGTGGCTTTCTTTATTGTTTTGTTCATACATCATCGAATGAAAGTTTCACCAAGAAAGATGAGATTAATTTCGACAGTGCCGTGTAGAAAACTATTTGGTTGACAATATACTCGTTCAGACACACCGTTCTCCATTGCACATTGATCTGTAGTCACAAAATGTCTGAACCTGCACGTGTCACTTTCAAACTGGGTGGTTTCAAGCGGCCTGCTCTGAACAATCTGGCATCAGCATCCAGTCAGTTTGACACATCGACATCCAATACAAATGATCAGCAATTAGAACTTGTAACCGGTTTTGACAATGGTGAACTTAAAGGCAATGCACCAGTTGTAAAAAAGAAAGAATTAGTTATACCTAGTCAACCAAACGCTCATAATCAATTTTTCAAAATGAAAATAGAAAGTAAAAAGAAGACGACATCAAATGGAATGGAAATGAATCAATTAGAAGATGAAGCGAAACGTGCACTCATTCTTGATGCCCAAGCCGCTAACGAAGCTTGGAATGAACGAAATGAGAACGGACCCGTTCGTGTACATACAATCGAACAAGATTCAGCGAACACGTTTATGATTAACACGGACGAAGAAAACAATGCAAAGGAACCTGAAGAAGAAAAAGAAGTTGAAAACGCTGATTACGAACAGGTTCCAATCGAAGACTTTGGTATGGCTGTTTTACGTGGCATGGGTTATAAAGAAGATTCTGGCCTTGGTATATCAAATAAGAAACAAGTCGATGTTTTTGTTCCCGAAACTCGTCCTCGCGGTCTTGGTTTAGGTGCCGATCGAAAAGTTTTAGAAAAAATTAATCAATTGAAACGTAATTTAAAACAAGCTGGCATTGACGAAAAAGATGATCTATGCTTTGAAAAAGGAGCTTTTGTTCTTATTGAGAAAGGTCCTCATCAAGATTTATATGGTACAATTGAATCCATTGACGAAGATGTTACTCGTTTAACCGTTTCATTAGCTGTTAGTGGTACAAACAAGAAGAAAGAAGTCATATCGATATCACAGTATAGCGTTAAATTAGTGACAGAAAAGGAATTTCTCAAATATAGCAAATATGTCAATAAATCCAAAGCTGATCGGGTGGATAAAGAAACAAGTGAACGACTGATCAAAGATTACCATCGATCTGAGACGAAGAGCACTAGTTCTGGTGACGATCGCGACCGTGAACGTGATCGTAAACATCATCGTTCATCTAAAAATGATGATCACGACCGAAAGCATCATCGCCATCGAGATGACGACAGAAATCGATCAAAGCGGCATTAATTATTCAATTGTTTCCTCTTTTTTTTTCTACATGTATAATAAATATCCATACATATTTTGTTATCATCATTGTAATTTTCTTATTCTGAGTTTTATACGATGACTGACGGTAAAATCATGAAAAAACAAACAAATGAATTTCAATTGCAAATAAGCAGATATTCCATAGGCGAGAGAAAAGCAAACATAGAGTGTATTAAAATAGCTTCATGGTCTAATGAAAAAAACAGAATCATGCCGACATTTGGGAATAAATTTAATATATACGAGAAAAGGGAAAAGGATGTCAGAAATCTATCTATATTCTTAAACGAAATACTAGGTTCGAATTGTGATCGTGTGTGCGCATCCTGTCGACGATGAAGTAAGTGCAGAAGAAGGAGAATAGCACAAAAGGAAGTAGTTTCATTGTTATAATTATCAAAACCAATAGCATTGTTCTTATTATCTGAGAAAGAAAACGAGAGAGAATGAAGAGAACCTTGTTGCTTTTCTTTCTCTGCTATTGTAATATTTTATATTTACACTAGCAGTTCGACTTTTCTAAAGGTAAGTGCCATGTTTAATTACAGAAAAAGGCTCGTTTTATATGCTTTTATAAAATTCTAGCATCAATGGCAGCAACAGCCGCGAATCTTTTGATTTCAAAGGATTTTAAAAGTAGTTCATATCTTGATCGTTTATTACCAAAGCATAGAAACGTCAATAGAGCGTTAAGTTTCACACCAACCAGTAACTCGAACTGACTATTTCTCTATTAACGAGACACACAATTTTCCTTTTAGGTTCATCAATTTTAGCTCCAATGAAGAGAGTAAGCCAAAGCTCAACTGAATAGTTAAAGTATTACAGTTAGATTTTAGTTGAACAAAACATTCGAAACTTCATCGGAATCGGGTGAACGAAATCGAAGGCCACGAAATGAATTGTATAGGGTAACAGCTTTCACTTTTGAGAGAAAACAAAGAAATTCGTTGCATATTTAGTTGCAAAAGCAATCCTATGAAAATGCCAAGAAATACATTGCATCCGAAGTGGAATATATTCTCAAAGATCCTTCAATTGTTGTCGTTAGCGATTGGCTCAAGGTGCGAGGAACATTACGGGATTGGACTAAGCTGTGGGCAGTTTTAAAACCAGGCTACATGTTACTCTATCGTAGTCCTGTATCTATGGTATGTGAAAACCTATCTATTCGATTCGTTCATGATGATCATATGGTAGGATGGTGTTTGGGTTGGCACTATTGTTCTCTCATCGTGTGAAGGTGAGTGTTGTGGTCGGTTTTGTTCGTAATTTTGATTTTCTCATCGTAGTTATTCAACGACCTTCGAAGAAAACAGGATTTTGTTTTAAAATTTGGCATCCACTAGAAAAATCTATCTGGACGCAGAAAGTAAACGAGTTTTACTACGAAACAAAATAAAACACGACTTTTTCCTCTTCCTGGCTCTTTCTTTAGGGTCCTAAAAATGAGCAATTTGGTGCCCTGACATTTCCTCTACCAATCAATTACTTAATTTGTCGAGCAGCAGATGAAGCAACGGGTATTTTGCTTTAATTTTGATTTACCGGAGACAAAAATTTACTAAACCATTAAGGATATTGCTGGATGGATGGACTTGAATTAACAATGAAATGTTCAAAATTATTGAAAAAGCCATTTCTAACGTATGATGTTCCCACCACGTCAACCACGAGCAATTCTTCAATTTTGTCCAATGAAGACAGCATACTTTCAAACAACAACTCCTCCACAAATGATATTAATCTGTCTCGCACGAATCTTCTGGCAGATGATGATCGAATGAGTGACACCAGTGCTGATCTAAGCAAAACTTCTAGAAGTGGCACCACGCAATCGGAAATCTCGCAAGATCGACCCAATCCTCCCGAGGAAGAGAAAGCTATAACGCCATATATTCTTGCGCCTCCAGAGGAAATGGGCGAAGTATGTCGAGTGAAAAAAAATGCACATTTTTTATCGAAAAAATCATGCTACTTTTAGCTTGGCAATGCCGCCCAAACAGAAGATGTAGCCGAAGAAAACAAATCACTAATAGTGCATTTACTAAAACAAGTTCGACCAGGCATGGATTTGTCGAAAGTAGTTCTCCCAACATTCATACTAGAGACCAGATCATTTCTGGAAAAGCTTTCTGATTATTATCACCACTGCGACATTCTTGAAGAGTATGTTCATTTCAATGATACACTTTAGCATGTTGAAAACTATTTTAATAACTTTTTTCTTTGTCTCTATCGAACTTATGAGAGGAAACTTGATATTAATTAGATTGTTGCTATTTTTAGAACAGTCAATTCATCTGATGCATTAGAACGAATGAAAACAGTTGTAAAATTTTACCTCTCAGGATTTTATAAGAAGCCAAAGGTTTGTTTAAATAGCGCGTCAGCAACTCATTTCACTTGATTTTAGGGTCTGAAAAAACCCTACAATCCTGTTCTAGGCGAAGTATATCGCTGTTATTTTTATCATACAAAAAGTGATAGTAAAACATTTTATATCGCAGAACAGGTGAGTTCATATTAGGAAGCATCTGTAGAAAATCGCTGGGATGTTCGGTTAGATCTCTCATCATCCACCAATTACAAGTTTTTATGTATCAAATCGAAAAGAAGGATTCTGTATTCAAGGAAATATCTTAACAAGATCCAAATTCTATGGTAAATGCTTAATCGGCGACTTTGGTTTTCTATTTCAACTATTACTTATAGGCAATAGCTTACAAGCAATATTGGATGGGTCAGCTCGATTGACTCTACTGAATCGTGGAGAAGATTATGTCATTACTATGCCGTATGCGAACTGTAAAGGTAAAGTTAGCTACACTTTCCGAACATTTTCATAACCCAGATGTATCGATATCATACAGGTATTCTTATCGGAAGGTTGACTATGGAATTAGGTGGCAAAGTAACAATCACTTGTGAGAAAACTCGTTATTCAGCTGATATTGAATTCAAATTAAAAGTAACAAGCGATTTCCTTTTTCTTTTTCATGTACGCGTCATTTCGACTTTCTTAAAGCCATTTATCGGTGGCCAAGAACTAACTAACCTGATTGAAGGAAAAATTCGTCTGGAAGATGATGTTCTCTACACTTTTTCTGGTCATTGGGACGATGAAATTACCTTGATCGATAAAACCACACACGTAGATTCCAAAATTCTATATATCAATTATGGAGAACTCAGATTGTCTGTTGTAGATGAAAAGTGTCTTGTGGAAAGTCACACCATCTGTGATCAATTCTCGATTGAAACGATATGTCGTACCGATCGAACAACAGCAAGAGAATGAATCCGAAAGGTGAAAACTAATTCCATCAAAAACAATATTCTCTTTAATAATACGATTTTCAATGTAGATTATGGCAACGTGTAACATCAGCAATCCGACAAAATGATCAAGTTCTAGCTACCGAAGAAAAAACGATCATTGAAAATGAACAACGTAAACTGGTTAAAGAACGCAAGATAACGGGAATTGAATGGCATCCTTGTTTGTTCTCAATGGATCAAAATACCAGACAATGGACATACAATCATCTAGAGTAAGATGTGAACATCATCTTGTCAAGTAATCTTGCAGTTGTATTCTTTTATAGCATTCATCCATGGGATTCACATAATGATATCTCGACTTACGAAACAAATTTTATGATCTGCACGCATACATGCCACCATCATGATCCAATGATTGTTCATGAACGTACAGTATCGTTTCACAATACTCACAATGAATCAATTCTAATCGATCGGAAAACATCATTTAGTGAAGATATAACATCGATATTGAAAAGTATCGAAACAAATCTCATGCGTACAAGTGAACGAATTGACTTTCATGAGCGACAAATTTGTCAATTACAAACACAACAATCAATACGTTATCCTTCGTTTTACCTCATTCATTTTCTTCTTATTATTTTTGTTGCACTGATTTTAAAATATTTATTTCGTTAAAGTTAAATGTTCTTTCGGCTACTTTTTTATTGTCAACTAGTTATATGAATAAAACATCATTTGGTAGTAAAATATTTATCGTAAATAACCACGCTGACGATCAATACAATCGATACCCACAAAGCATGAAGAGCGATATTACTCGGAAACAATTTCTCAGCTTGGCGATCGACATATTCGCTGTGAGTTTTGTTGCTTATATTGTTTGATTTGAGATGTTGAGCGTTTAAGTTATTCTTTTCCTCTTCGGTAGAATCGATGTCAATATTCGAACAATCTGCATCATATTCATAGGTTTTATCACCACACGTGAATGCCCAAAAATCTTTCAGTTCGTTCAATGGTCGTGGATATTTAAACCACTCCAAAGCTTTTTCTATCGAAACAAAATAAACATATCGATGGTCCGGACTAGTTAAAAGATGTTGAATAAAGCGAAGCAATGCTTGCAGACGGACTTTTTTGTTTTGAGCAAGCCAAGAAAGATCCAATTGAATAACGAAAGGTGATCGACGGCCAACAGTTAATGACGAATGACGTTGAAAATTATGCATAAGAAAATCATAATAAATATCAGTGGTGAGTGTTTGATCTGCTGGCAAACATGACGAATCAGACAGAGTACGGCAAGAGATACTTGCTGAAAAGACATGAAAATTTTAAATGCCTGTGTTAAATTGAAAACAAGATGTGCTCACAGTTTGGATAAGTCCATTCGTGTAGTGGAAATTGCCAAAGTGCTTCGAATGGTTTTGTCCAATTATAGCAATTAATACATGCTTGATGATCAAATGGATAATCCAATGTGAATGGCCAGATGAAATTGTTCGATTTGAATAACATCGATGAATCATAATGAAAATGATATTTCTCCAAGAGTTCGAAATGTTGATATCCATCAATTTGTAAATGTGGTACACGAAAGCCTTTGATATGGGATGAATGAATCTGTCCTTTGTCGACAATGTTAATGCGTTGTTCCTTTATTTCACGTTGCCAATCTTTATTCGTCCATCGACGCCAAGAATTCTCTTGATAACAATTGGTTAATGGACATCTAGAAATCGAGTAAACAGAGACGATTTTTTCGAAAAATAAAGATAAATTTACTTGTTGCTCGACACTGTCATCGCTATTTCATGATGATTATCGAAAAGACGTTGAACTAAACAATATTCTGTATGAACGTCATGAATGAAAAACGTTGTTGAAATTGGACATTTATTTGGATTTCGATGAAATGAATGAAATATTGATCGAATAGAATCTAGTACATTTGTGTTTAAATTACCGACAAAAGTTAATAAGACCTAAAAAGAACACTTAATTGATATAAAAAAGAAAATAATGTTGAACATAGAACACATACAAACTGAGGTAAATCAATGAGATCGAACGATGTTGGATTACCATTATTTGTTGGACATTGACAACTGGGTAAAAGACAATTTTCTTTAGTGCAGGTTTTACTTTGGCCCGATGTGAATGAAAATGTTAGAAAGCATAAAAAATAAAAGAATAACATCTGAAAGCGATTGATTGCTGAAATTCAATTCTTTGTTTATCATTTTACCCAGAGAAAAGAGAAGAAATAGTCAGAATGATGCGTTAAAACACATGTGTTTGTATTTAACGAATGATTTCGAAGTCGATTAGAAAAGAAAAACAAAAAAAAAGCTTACGACACTCGGTATTCCCAGGCGGTCACCCATCCAAGTACTAACCGAGCCCGACGTTGCTTAACTTCAGTGATCGGACGAGAACTGGTGTATTCAACGTGGTATGGCCGTAAGCGTATATTACTCCTCTACTTTGCTATTTTCAGACTAAGACGATCAATTTCATCGGTTCAAACAAGTACTGCTCATAATCACTGACGAGAACGCTTTGAATTTATACACTGAAGTCCATGTATGATCAGATATGCCATTTTCACTTCCTTTTACGTTAACTAGCAGGCATAACGCACTTCGTTTGTAGATATTGATTATTGGCTGTGCTTCAGTTTGTTGGATGCAAAATATTCTACCATCTTGATACGTGACTGGTCAAGTTATATAAATATTGAATACAAAACGAAATTGTTAGTCATCGAAGGTGAAGTGTTGAAATAACAATGCTTTATGTTCATTGACATTCTCAGCAAAGACTATCGTTTTTTAAAGATCTTTTGTCCAAAAAACAATTTCAGGGATGTTGTAGTTTGTCCATATTTCTGGTGAAACATTCTTCTCATGTGATTCTCAAGACTAATCTTTGAATTTCGAACTCGCGATATGAATTATCATGCGCTAGGAAAAGTCAGTATCTAGTCATGATTAAATAGTTGAGATCACTGGAAAGCGAATCTTCTTTGAAAGCTTTTCTAAATAACATATCAGCATAGATGTCGTCCTTTTTCATGTGTAATGCAAATCTGTAGTCTGATTGGTCGAATACTGACATGTAATTTCTTTCGTCTCATATGGATAAGAGAAATTGATCATTCATCCTTTATTTTCGTTTCAATTCAATCAAACAAATAGCTGTCATTAATAATGGGCAAGAAACAGCATCAACAGGACAAACTCTATCTTACCACTACAGTAAGTCATCTCGTTTTTCTCTCTCTCTCTCTCTATCTTTTTCAATTGATTTTCTTTATTGTTTAGGAATGGAAAAATTCCTTTGGTGGTTACAAAGGTGCTACCAAAGCGAATGCTGATTTTCGTCGTTTACCATTCAACTGTTGTAGCATCTCATTTCTACCCGTAGAAAATCCGTATTGCACACCTGATGGCATCGTCTTTGACCTTGCTTCTATAGTGCCATTTTTGAAAAAGTTCGGTAGGTTGTAAACAACATGTTGTTTTCATTGGAATGCAATTTCCTTGGTACTTTCAGGTCGCAATCCTGTCACCGGTGAAAAGCTTGAAGCGAAACAATTAACTAAATTAATTTTTCACAAAAATCAGAAAGATGAAATTCATTGTCCAATAACTTTTAAAGTATTGACTGACAGTTCACACATTGTGGCCATACGACCATCGGGTAATGTCTATAGTTATGATGCTATCGACCGTTTAAACCTTAAGACCAATACATTTAACGATCTTTTAACGAATGAATCATTCACACGAGAAGATATTATCACAATTCAGGATCCGAAAAATTTGGATAAATTCAACATTCAATCGTTTGCACATTTGAAAAATGATTGGAAATTAGATGATGAGGATGAGAAAGCTCGACGAACGGATCCCAACTATTATTTGAAATATATCAATAATGAAACTGCTGCAACGCTACAGCAAATCAAGAGTGCACCATCGAAAGAATTCAAGGAAAGATCTGAAACGAGTATCTATTCGAGTAAACAAGTCAAACCTAATCAACAACATTTGGATGAAACAAATACAGCGACGTATTCAACTGGTCGTTTGGCTGCATCATTTACATCGACATCGATGGACCCAGTGACGGTCATGGAAGCAGCTGTTCGTGACGAAAACGAAATTCGTTATGCAAGAATCAAAAATGGTAAAAAGAAAGGCTATGCACGAATGGTTACCAACTTAGGCGTAATCAATATTGAACTGGATTGCGATCTATGTCCGCAAACGTGTGAGAATTTTATTAAACATTGTGCAGATAAATACTACGTCGGAAGCAAATTTCATCGATCGATCAAAAATTTTATTGTTAGTATAGAGTATTTTGATAGTATCACTTATAGTCTTTATCACTCAATTTCTCTTCTAGATTCAAGGTGGTGATCCAACAGGTACAGGTCACGGTGGAAAATCAATATGGAACAAGCCGTTCCGAGATGAATGTAATCCGAAATTACAACACACCGGAAGAGGGATGTTGAGTATGGCTAATTCAGGTCCAAATACCAACAAATCTCAATTGTATGTACGATGCTCTAGTTTTATCGGATAATTTCCATCGATTCTTGTAGTTTTTTCACCTATCGCTCATGCAAAGGATTAAATGGTAAACACACCGTGTTTGGAAAGTAAGTTGAAATATGGTAGTTTTTCTGCATGCATCTACCTATGCATAGAATCGTTGGCGGCATTGAGACTCTCAGTGCAATGGAAGCAATTCCAACCGATGAAAAAGATCGACCACAAGTAAGAACGATGGTTTCTTGTCGAGGACAATGACTGATTGATAATTTCTCTTATTCTAGAGCGATATTATTATTGAAGACACAATTGTATTTGTCAATCCATATGACGAAGTTGATGCTGAAGTAGGAATTCTGTCTGTGATGAATACTTTTGATTTATGTCGAATAACTCTTTAGCTGAAAGCTGAACGAGAACGTCAGGATAAGCGTGAAGCGAATGAAGAGAGACTCAATGGAACTGTACGATCAGCCAAATCTACTGCAGTAGCAACAGGAACAAAAAGTTCGACAGCATCCACCTCGTCCTCGGAACAAACATTTCGATCTGGAGTTGGAAAATATATTTCCAATCAAGTTTAGTGAGTCATCTTTCTCTTCTACCATCGAGTTATTCATGCACATGATTCGCATTGCTTTCTAGTTCAAGTGCAAAACAAGCTGCACCCACTTCCGACGAAGATAACGAATATGCACAAAAGAAAAAACGTAAATTAGCAGCAGCTAGTTCAGGTGGATCATTGAATTTTAGCCAATGGTGATTTTACCTGGCTACATTTCTTTTCGTTTTTTGTCTGTTGTATTGTAATTAAAACATGTTTTGTCGATCATGGGTTTTGAATATAAAAAAATGTCCATCGATATGTCGCACTAAAGTCTATCTAGAATTTCTTTCACAGTTGTAGAACTATTTCTCATACTTCCTGTCATTCATGGCTAGTATGGCTAGCAATCTGCAGGTATCGACTTCTGTTTTTTTTATTGATCAGTGTTGCATATTCTATTTCGTTAGAAAATTCTTCGACAACGTGTACCAATGATCCAATTTCGATACGGGGCGAATCGATCAGGTAGAAATTTAGCTTTTGAAACACAAAATAGATGTATGAGGATGTGTTATATAGGTTCAGCCACTCATGCAACGAAGGAGAATACGAAGGATTCATCAAGTGTAGTGAATAAAGCTGGTGCTGCCTCCCAAACGAAAACAGTTCAACAAGCTGGTACATTTGAATTTGCGCAAACACCAGCTAAATATCGACGACGTTCATTAACCCAAGAAGAGATTGATCTCGTTGCGGTAAGTTTCTTACTCATTTGCTCACCATCGAGATCTGTCGTGTCTTTGTTCTTTTGTAGACTGGCGGATCTGTTTAGTTTGGACTCCTTTTAGATTCATCAAATATTCCTTAGCACAGAGACAATCCTAAGCAAATCTATATCAACATATGTATTTTGTTTGTCTTTTCCAAAATAAAAACACACGCAGCAGTTTATCGAAAGTGTGATCGACGCTTGCCTGCACGTTTATCTTTGGAATCAGAAGGAAACACTTGAAAAGCGCTCTTTAAACATTCAGCAGGTTTCCATTTATCCAGTTGTCGAACTTCATCTATGGATTCATCGTATTCACGTTGACGTTGTTTCTCTTCGAATTCTTCTTCATCAATGACATGAATTGTGTCACGTTTCATCGGAATGAAAGTTTTCTCCAGTTCATCTGGATTTCCATTGTATCCAAAGTTAATCGGAGGTAGGGTCGAACCAAGTTTATGAAAATTTGGTTCATATTCAACACGACGATAACTTTTATCACCATCCGATCGTTTCGGAATACCGTTACGTGAATCATAGACTCTTCGTTTATGTCCCATTTGTGTCATATGTACATCATCATTGCCTAGATCTTCGATCGAACGAAGATGCATGTCGGCAAAAAGATTTCTTTTCGACGGACGATGATCAGCAGACTCGTCCGGGAAGTAGATCCATTCGTTCGACGTACGTTGCCAATTTTGAGGAAATGAACGAACAAAATGTAGATTTTGTTCAATGACAGCAATGGGTAATGTCGGACGAGTATCAGGATTACGCGGAGATTTAATATATCGTAAACGTGAATGCCAATCAGGCCCAACACTACAAAGAAGAACGAAATTCTTCGTACATACTTTTGAAATATTACTTTGAATATTCTGGTTCGATAAATTTACCATGTGGACGCCATTTGACATCCTCTAGAGGTGGAGGTGGAACGTGAGCACGACCTCGAGGTTTGAAAACAGATTCACTAAAAGCAAAACGATGTTTTTCTGGATAGTGCCGTCGATCTAGTCCTAAATGAAATGAACATTTGTCGCATACTTTCAACTGAGTGCTTTCCTACCGTGATAACCAGGCTTTTCTATATCGTAATGAAGATGTAATGTGGCAGCGTTTAGATGAACCATAATGTTATTCTCTGTACAGCTAAATGTTTCGTTTCTTTTCTTTTCTGTTGCTATTATTGCTGTTGATAAGGTTGTCCATTAATTCATGTTGAAGTGAAGAAAAATAAGAAAGAAAAACGTTTTTCATCTTTCACTTTAACTGCTCTTCAGTGCTCATAGCATCTTCAATAGCGGCTGATTTCTTCTCGTTCTTTCCGATATTAATGGATTCATATCCGGCCGTTCAAATAGAAAAACATCTGAAAGCGTGAGGAGAAAAACTTAATAGAATTGTACGAATTTCGATCGAAGTTTTCATCTTGTTTATTGATGACATTGAATATTGGATGCCTTATCTTATCGGATTGAAAAGACAAGATGAGGAGATCTAAGATTGAATTTCCTTTCTTTGTTTGTGATTGAAGCAACTGAATAGACGATTGAAAATGGCTGAGGTTAGTTTTCAATGAACAACACAAGAGAAAATGTCTTGGTCTGTGTAGAAATTTACAGGTTATGATAATTCAGGATATGTAGTCGATCGTCCGGCGTATGTTATCAGTACTACACATGGATTGATAGTAACCACGAAATTGCAAAAGAATGAAGATGAAAACAACGAGGATGACGATGATAAGAATAATAGAGATTTTGAAAAGCTTACTGATGATGTTCATCGAAGCGGGTTATTAATCTTCAATTTGCGAAAGCAATTTTTTCGGATGATCGAGCAACGAAAGGTAAGATACTGTATATAGTTTTATCGATGAACATTGATCTTCTTAAATTTTCGATAGAAAACAGTGATTTATGGAGTAAAATCAGTCTTTATAATTGCATTTATCATTTATTTCGCATTTGCAATGAGCGAAAAGTATGGAACACCAGCATTTCCTATTCGCGGCAATCTTTTCCGTGGAAATTCAGGTATTATTAGACAAAATATATCAATTCTTTCCAGATCGCGCTGTAGGTTTTGCCTTTTTGTTTCTGATTTTCTTTTTCTTCTTCATCTTCGCTTGGGAACGAATTCTCGGTCGTACATTGGCACGGTGGTACGAAAATCTTCCGATAGCTAAGTACAAACGTGAAATATCTACGTTTTCATGGTAAGCAATCTCGACGACGATCGAAAAACTCATTTGTTAACCATGTCAATAGGGTGTGGCATCTGTTCGTTGTTACAGCTATTGTATTCTATGTTGGATTCACAGTTACGCGTGCACGAAACTATGTGTCTCTTCTCGGTATTGTCATCTTAGTTTTATTGGGTACCATCGGTTCCAAATATCCTCATCGAGTAGGTAGGATGAGTTCCGATCGCAATTCATCGATGCATAGATAACGTTTTATAATACATTCGTTTAGATTCGATGGAAAACAGTGTTTTATTCGTTTGTGATTCAATTTCTTCTGGCGACGATTGTCATACGATTTGAATTTGGCTTCCAATTCTTTGAATTTCTTGGCAAAGAAGTGTCGACATTTATTCAGTAAACAATTTATTTGTTTGAACAAAATAGATGATCATCGATAACGAGAATATTTTAGTAATGCTGACGCGGGAGCAATGTTTGTCTTTGGGAAGACTTATGAACAACATTTCTTCGTCTTTAAAGTACCAAAAATGCTACTTTAGAAAAGAATCATGAAGTTTTGTTCGCTGTTACATTTCAGGTCACATCGATTATTATATTTCTTGGTTCAGTCATCAATGTTCTATATTATTTGGGTGTGATGCAGTATATAATCGGAAAAATAGCGTGGTTTATGCAGAAATGTCTGAATACAACAGCGGCGGAAGTAAATATCTAAATATTTTCTCTCTTAAGACTTCCTTTTGTTTAGTCGATGACTGCTGCAGCTAATATATTCGTTGGAATGAGCGAAGCGCCATTGATGATTATGCCATTAGTTCCACAGATGACCATATCAGAACTTCATTCTGTTTTAGTCGGTGGTTTTGCAACAATGGCAGGTTGTGCATTGAAATGACTTGTCTATGTCCCTCTCGATGTGTTCGTTTCAGGTTCCGTCCTTGCAACGTTTATTTTCTTTGGCGTTCCGGCCAATCATTTAATCGCTGCTAGTGTCATGGCCGCTCCAGGCGCACTTGGATTTGCAAAACTCTTATTGCCTGAAACTCATCAATCGAAAACAACTTGGGAAGCAGTAAAAAACACACCACCACCGTACGAAACATTTCTCTTCGATCTTATTACATTGGGTTTTGTTCTCTTAGAGACCAACATAATGTAATTGATGCATTACTAACGGGTGCAGGTCATACATTGAAAATCTGTGGTTATCTGATCGCGAATCTGATCGCATTTATAAGTGTTCTTCATTTTGCCGACGCGACGATTTCATGGTTTTTTAATTTGATTCATCATCCGGAAATCAATTTTCAATTTCTACTCGGATTGATCTTCTATCCGTTTGCAATTATCATTGGTATTCCAATTCATGATTGTCTTTTAGCATCGAAACTGATCGGTATTAAAGTTAGTTTGAATGAAGTAAGTCAGAAAACGACTTGACAAAGCTCTTCAGTAACATATTCCACTCGCTCGTTCATAGTTCATAGCTTATCAAGAACTGGGTAGAATCCGTCAGTTACGTACTGAACTGATCTTGAATAATACATTTCCATTGTATCTAAATGGTACACTACAGTTACCAAATGATGTTCAGATGCTCTGGGAGGTAACTATTCGATCATATGGCACCGGTCTTTTTTTGTTGTGACTGACTAGATTTTTTGTTTATTTCAAGGACAGCTCAGTAGTTATTTTAACCTATGCTCTATGTGGTAAAACTTTTCTTAGGGAAATACTCGATAGAGAAGATTATTTCTAGGGTTTGCTAATTTCGGCTCGATGGGTATCGCTTTAGCAACATTAGGAGTTTTTGCACCAACACGAAAACGAGCGTTAGTCAAAATTGCACCACGCGCCTTGATCGGAGCAAATATGGTTTCGTTGATGACTGCATCCATCGCTGGTGAGAAGAAAATGCATACACACCTTCATTCATCTTCAAATGCTTCTCTCTTCAGGCTTATTGTACGATGCTCGACATGCAGCAACCGCTGTGCCCAATACCAATTTTACAAGTGTATAAACTGATATTTTCAGAGTTTTTTTCTCTTCTATAGATTAGTTTGTTGTACTGATTTAGAAATAAATGGGATACTTTTCATGATTTTAACCAACATTTTGTCTCGCTTAGATTTTTTTTTCTATAGAAATCGTTTGTCATGACAGAGAAATGTAAAACGTGGCACATATTAACATGAATAATCTACACACAACACGATGACTCACCGAATCGAGTAATTGCTCAACCTTGATGTATGTATGACATTCATAAACAGAACGCACGATCCGTAGAAGGAGAAAAGAAAAAAACTAGAATAGAAAGAAGGGAGAAAAACATTGTTGTAATATTTTCTCAAACATATAAAAACCGAGAAATTGTTGGCGAGTAAACTACAAACAAGACAGAAAAGACATGGTTTTAATACGCAAAATCAAGAGCGGACGTCGATCGATCGTGTGGAGATTCAATGGCGAAGCACAGTATCTTGATGGACCTCGATTGGTAACAGTTTGGCCATGTATCAATAGAATACAACCATTGACATTACATCATGCTAATGACATGCAGTATTTAGAAGTTAGTTATGCTGATGGGAAAACAGAAATTCAACCGGGACCTGCAGCTTTGTTTGATGATCCACTGAAGATTTCATACATTCAAACCAAAGATCTGATTAAGCTCGATGCAAACGAAATCTTAGTTTTATACACTCAAGCTAACGAGAGCGAAAAACAAGGTAATTCCATTCACTTGATATGGATAAAACGATACAATTGATTCGTATAGATTTACATTCAGTACGTCAAATAGTTAAAGGTCCAACACTGTATGCACCGAAACCAAATGAATGGATTCATGAATTCACATGGCATGGTGAAGATGGTTCCCATAAAACACATATCATACCTGGGGCAAAAAAATTTCAAAAACTTCGCCTGATTCCTGATCAGTTCTATTACAACATAACCGATGTACGCACCGCGGACGATGCATTGATCACTGTGAAATTAATGATCTTTTTCGAGTTGATGAACGTTGAAACGATGTTGAACAATACACGTGATCCAATTGCAGATTTTGTGAGTAATGAAAAGAATTATGAAGATATGACGATTTTGTTTGACCTCGACTTTAGATCAATGCGATTTGTGCCGATGTTATTGCTTTCGCATCTGTACGAAAATACGAAACATTTCTAGAGAATGCCAACCAGCTCAATCAATTAGAAACTTATCCACAATTAATAGCACGCGCAGAAACAGTCGGATATCGAATAAACAAAGTCGTTTTTCGAGGTTATCAAGCAACAGAAAAACTACAAGTACGTTAAGTGCAACGATACTTAGAATGATATAGATGAATAGCTTTGTTCTAGTTGATGAATGATAACGCTATTGAAAAACGTACGAAATTACGATTGGAAGACGAAGCAGAACGTCAGTTACAAATTCTAGAAGATTTAAAACTAGAAAAACGCTTCGAACGATCACAAAAAGGTAGATCAATGAAATTTCCATTTTTCTTCTCATCCAAATCTTCTATACTATTTCGTAGAACGAAAAATGCAACTTGAACAGATGTTGCACAAGCTCGATATGGATAAACAACAACATGCTAGTCGTTTACAAGCAAAAGAAGCAGAAAATCAACTCGAACATGAACATCAGCAACTCTTACATGAAGGTGAAATAAAATTCTATGAAAAATTAAGAGAACTCGGAACGGATATTACCCAAGTGATGGTCGCACAACAACGTAATCCAGACAAATTAATTCAGATTGTTAATGACAATGAACACAAAACACTCAAAACGACACCGACTGTTCAGTTCGTAGACAATCTTTGAATAACTTAGTTGTTTATATTTTCAAAGAAGGAAATATGCTTTTCTTGTTACATAGAATTGCGTATGACAATTCTCTGCATTTTAATATGTATATCAGTTGAGAACACGTCTCATGATTGGTTTTCCTTCTTGTCATTTGTGCGTCTTCTTTGCTGTTCCAGCGCTCAATAAACTAGGCTGCGAGTTTACGATCAAGGACATTAAAACGGAAATAATCGGTACAATAGAAACCAAGAAAGAAGGGCGTATATATTCACGTAAAATAAAGAGAACAACCGAAGAGATGCTGTATATCAACATAGATAAAATAGAGTGTCATGATAATCCTTTTTCTCTACGAACAAATTGGAAATTGTGTCCATGATCCTGTAGCTAAACAAGTGATATTCAATGGACCTGATAAGGAATTGTACTGGAATCCAGAGCTACATTGAACTTGAATCCAACTACCAACAGTTATACCATTAGTAGCGGAAAATAGTGATTTCGATACGACTTGAACATTGACTAGTGCCGATGATAGTTGAGACAGTGAACACGAAGCATTTGCTAAAAATGTACAAATTCAAATGTGTATTTTCAATAAGAACTTGAATTCAAATGTACATACAGGTACAAACAGGTGATGTACTCCAAACGCCATTGGTGCAGGTTATCTGTGAGTTACCCACTAGTACATACGGAGATACACAAACATAATTGATGTATGCTCCTGATACAGCTAGATTAGCAGTTGGTGACATAATACCACTGTACGAGTTTGCATAGCCATTTGCTATGATCAATCGACTGGCGTCATAAGAACAATACATTCCAGTGCCCGTAGCTACTGTTGTTGTAATTGATTGTGTACTTCGAACGCAACTTGGAAATTGACTCCATGAACCATTGCTGAGACAAGTGACGTTCAAGTTACCACCTGTATTAATGTAACCATCGAGACAAGCGAGAACCACATACGAGCCACTGACTATTGCATTTGTATCTTGTGAAACAGTTGTCAATCGAAAATCATACGTAGTTTTTAACGTATTCGCACTCAAAACAAAATTATTCAGCGTTGAATAGGAACATTGACTATTCACTTAAACAGAAAATAAGATTCTGATGTACACGAGGTTGCACACTTTCTGTAGAAATTACCTATGCATCGTGGTTTAGTAGACCAGATACCGTTATTACACGTATATCTTGCACCGACGCCTGAATCCAATGAATAGCCAGACGCGCATGTAAATTGAATCCAACCTAGAATAAATCATTTAAGAAGTATATTTAAATTTCACTTTTTCCGTAAATAGGTGTACCGGTCGCCGTTGTTGCTGAAGTATAGGACAGAGCAGACGACGAATAGTAACCATTTGTGATGGTAAATGTTGATGCATCGATTGCACAAGCTGCTCCAGTGCTCGATGCGAGTGTAGTTGTTGTAGTTATCGCACCATTGTTCAAAACACAGCTAGGAAATTGAGACCACGAACCAGTGCTCAAACAAGTGACATTCAGACTACCACCAACGTTTATATAACCACTTGCACAAGTGAAAACAATATATGAATCATTCAGAACAGCATTACTATCTTGTGATGATAGTACGATACGATTTTGACTTGTCGCTTGTAATCCCGACGCAGTTGAAAGAAAATTCTTTAAAAGTGTATATGAACAACGACCAGTCACTAGACAAACGAGGAGAGGCGTATATAATTATTAGTAAGACAGCTTGAATCCTACTTAAGCATTGTGGCTTTTTCGACCAAACACCACTCGTGCATGTATACGTTGCTCCTATACTCGAATCTAACACATAACCAGACGAACAAGCAAATTGAATCGATCCTAAAATGTACTCGATGTAAATATGTAAAACTCTCAGTTGCCAATAAAGTACCTGTGGCAGCAGTGCTCGAAACGTAGGAAAGTGTGGAGCTTACATAGTAACCATTACTAATTGTGTACGTTGTAGCATCGACTGTACACGCTACACCATTGCCAGTAGCTTGAGTAGTAGTCGTAATCACGCCGCCACCGCCACCATTCAAAACGCAATTGGGAAACTGACTCCATGAACCATTATTTAGACATGTTATATTTAAACTACCACCGATATTTGTGTAACCGCTGACGCACGCAAGTAAGATATATGAACCATTTAAAACTGCAGTAGTATCTTGAGTGGCAGCGACTAAACGACTTTGATTGGTAGTTTGTACGCCGGTAGCTGTTGATATAAAACTTTGAAGGGCTGAATAAGTACATCGACCGGTGACTGCAAACAATTACACATCTGTAACGATCAACTGTGAGCAATAAAAAAATGTTACTTAAGCAGCGTGGTTTAGTCGACCAAATACCATTATTGCACGTGTATGATGCACCTACCGTTGAGTCCAATACATAACCAGGTGAACATGTAAACTGTATCCATCCTAGAACGAATCATTCCAATAATGCACATGTTCACAAGTGTTGTCATTACCTGTGGCAGTCGTGGACGAAGTATAGGTCAATGCTGAACTTGAATAGTAACCATTCGTAATGGTGAAGATCGATGCATCTACTACGCAAGATAGACCGGTGCTAGCTGTTGTTGTGGTGGTAGTAGTGGTAGTGATGACACCACTGCCACCGTTTAATACACAGCTTGGAAATTGTGACCATGAACCAGTGCCCAAGCACGTCACATTGAGACTGCCACCGGTGTTGACATATCCATTTGTACACGTCAAAACAATGTAAGAATTGACGAACACAACACTTGAGTCTTGTGTCGATGCAACCAAGTTCCTTTGATCCGTAGTTTGTATACCAGTAGCTGATGTCAGAAAGTTTTGCAATGTAGTAAACGAGCATCGTGCTGTCACTTTAGAAAGAGCAAACTGTGGTTGGAAAGAAACAGTGTTGGAAAAGCTCAACTTACTATTGCAACGTGGTTTCGTGGACCACACACCATTATTACAGGTATACACTGCACCAACTGTTGAATCGAGTGTGTATCCTGGTACACATGCAAACTGTATTGATCCTATGCGAACGAAACAAAATGAAATAGCATTGTATTCTCTAGAAACTCACCGGTAGCCGTAGTCGCCGAAGTATACGAGAGCGACGTACTTGTGTAATATCCATTAGTGACGGTAAATGAAGAAGCATCAATTAGGCAAGCTAGACCACTGTTTGATGCTAGAGTAGTTGTCGTTATTGAACCGCTACCGCTACCGAGTACACAATTTGGAAATTGAGTCCATGAATTCGTCGACAAACATGTAACATTCAAACTACCTCCAGTATTAGTAAAGCCACTTGTGCATGTTAAGACAATGAATGAATCACTCAACACGGAGTTGGAGTCTTCTGGTGCTGTTGTTAATCGATTTTGACTAGTCACTTGGATACCTGTTGCGGTGGATATAAAGGTTTTCAACGCAGAATAGGAACATCGACCCGTAGCTAGATAGAAGTAAAATCATGCTTATCACTGTCAGTGTATCAGACTTCACTTTACTTAGACATCGTGGCTTCGTGGACCAGACACCATTAGTACATGTGTACAATGGCCCGATCGTTTGATCCACTGTATAACCAGCAATGCAGGTGAATCGAACCCATCCTAGAATGCACAACAAAGTAAAGATCAATGCATGTATTATTTCCCTCACTCACCCGTTGCTGTCGAAGATGAAGTGTATGCCAATGAAGAATTCACGTAGTATCCATTGGTAACTGTAAATGTAGCAGTTGCATCAATCGAACAACCTACGCTAGTATTTCCGGCGACGGTTGTCGTAGTAACACCGCTTCCACCACTGAATACACAATTAGGAAATTGCGTCCATGAGCCGTTGCTCAAGCAAGTCACATTGAGACTACCACCAGTATTGATATATCCATTTGCGCAGGCGAAAACAATGTATGAGTTCACAAATATTGCATTCGTTTCTTGTGAGGATGCCATTAAATTTTTTTGATCCACAATCTGTATTCCCGTGGCAGTAGAAATAAAATTTTGTAGTGCCGTCAACGTGCATCGACTAGTAACTATGTACCATATAGTGTGTGATAAAGGGGAGAACCATAATAATAATCACACTTACTTGAACATGTTGGCTTAGTTGACCATACTCCATTCGTACATGTATATGTTCCACCGGTCATCGAATCGAGATTGTAACCGGGCATACACGAAAATTGTATCGATCCTATAATAAATCCATATCAAAGATGATATACCATGCTATATATACTCACCAGTCGCCGCCGTAGCTGATGTATATTTCAGAGATGAACTGGTATAGTAACCATTATTAATAGTGAACGTGGATGTGTCGATTGGGCAGCCAACACCAGTATTTGAGGTGACCGTTGTCGTAGTTACACCGCTTCCACTGCTGACTACACAGTTTGGAAACTGACTCCAAGAACCAGTACTCGAGCAGCTAACATTTAGAGAACCACCAGTGTTAGTGTAACCATTTGCGCAAGCCAATACAATGAATGAGTTCGCCAATACTGCACTTGTATCCTGTGTCGACGCTAACAAATTCTTTTGATCAACGATTTGTATTCCGGTTGCAGTTGATATAAAGCTTTGTAGAGTCGACAAATAACAGCGTCCTGTGGCTATAGACCATCGAGATAACAATGTTGTAAAACATTTATCAGAAAAGATTCAACCTACCAGAGCAACGCGGTTTTGTAGACCATATTCCACTGTTACAAGTGTATGTAGCGCCAACCGTAGCATCGAGCGCATATCCTGGTATGCATGCGAATTGAATGGACCCCGCAGCAGTAGTAGCTGAAGTATACGTCAGTGCAGAACTACTGTAATAACCATTTGCAATCGTGAATGTTGATGCATCGATTGTACAACCTAATCCGGTACTCGATGAGAGAGTTGTTGTTATTGCTGCCGATGTGGTTGTAGTAGTGATTCCACTTGTGTTCAAGACACAATTTGGAAACTGAGACCATAACCCTGTGTTCAAACATGTAACGTTCAAACTGCCACCCGTGTTTACATATCCACTGGCACAAGTAAAGACGATGAAAGAGTTCGCGAACATAACACTGCTGTCCTGTGCTGATGCCAAGAGGTTTTTCTGATCAGTAAATTGTATTCCAGTTGCAGTGGAAATGAAGTTTTGAAGCGTAGAGAATGAACATCGACCAGTGACTAGATCGAACAAACATTTTCCCTACAGATAAATTAAGGAGTGAGTTATTCAAGTTACCTGAGCAGCGCGGCTTCGTGGACCATACACCGTTCATACAAGTATATGTTCCACCGATTGTAGAGTCAAGCGCATAGCCCGGCATACACGCGAACTGTATGGATCCTGCAGCAAATTACAAAGGAGCTCAAAGTATCCTTGGTCTGTTTCACTCACCAGTCACAGTGCTAGCTGTAGTATAGGTTATTGACGAGCTCGTGTAATACCCATTTGTAATAGAAAAAGTTGTTGTATCAATCGTACAACCTACACCTCCATTTGATCCGACAGTAGTTGTCATCGTTGTCAATGTAGTCGTCGTAGTTATTGCACCGTTGTTGAAGACACAACTCGGAAATTGAGACCAAGAACCACTACTCAAACAACTGACATTCAGACTACCGCCTACATTTATGTAACCGCTTGCGCACGCAAAGACAATAAACGAATTGACAAATACAGTAGTTGTATCCTGTGCGGATGCTACCAAATTCTTCTGGTCAACAATCTGGATACCATTGGCTGTAGAGATGAAGCTCTGTAGGGTGGAGAATGGACAGCGCGCAGTGACTGAATCGAAAGAACATCATGTCTGGACGAGAAGAGAGCGAAAGGAACTTACTATTACAACGTGGTTTGGTCGACCAGACGCCATTATTGCAATTATAAGTTGCACCAACTGTTGTATCCAAGGCATAACCAGTGTTGCAAGCGAATTGAATGGATCCTGAAACAATAGAAGGCGTGAGATTGTAATATGCAAGCGAGAGAGGCTACCGGTCGCCGTAGTCGCTGATGTGTAGGTGAGTGTTGAACTGACATAGTAACCATTAGTGACAGTAAATGTGGATGCATCAAACGTACATGCAGCACCAGTATTTGTTGAGACAGTGGTTGTCACCATGGCGGATGTTGTTGTGGTTGTGATTCCACCGGTGTTCAGGACACAACTTGGAAATTGCGACCACGATCCGGTACTTAAACAAGTGACATTCAGACTACCACCTGCATTTATATAACCGCTTGCGCACGCAAAGACAATAAATGAGTTCACAAATACAGAAGTGGTATCTTGTGCGGATGCCAACAAATTCTTCTGGTCAACAATCTGAATACCACTGGCTGTAGAGATGAAGCTCTGTAGATTCGAGAATGGACAGCGCGCAGTACCTGAATCAAAAGAACATAACTTCTGGAAGAGAAAAGAGTGAAGGTAACTTACTATTGCAACGTGGTTTCGTAGACCAGACACCATTGTTACAGGTGTAGACTGCACCAACAGTCGAGTCCAGAGTATACCCGGTGTTACAAGCAAATTGGATTGATCCTAACAGATGACACCCTTCATCCAAATCCTAATGCTCATTCAAAATAGTTACCTGTAGCCGTCGTGGCAGATGTATACGTCAAAGAGGAACTGACATAATAACCGTTGGTAACAGTGAATGTGGACGCATCAAACGCACACGCTGTACCGGTATTTGTTGAGACAGTGGTTGTCACCATGGCGGATGTTGTTGTGGTTGTGATTCCACCGGTGTTCAGCACACAACTTGGAAATTGCGACCACGATCCGGTACTTAAACAAGTGACATTCAGACTACCACCTGTATTCACATATCCGCTTGCGCACGCAAAGACAATAAATGAGTTCACAAATACAATAGAGGTATCTTGTGCGGATGCCAACAAATTCTTCTGGTCAACAATCTGAATACCACTGGCTGTAGAGATGAAGCTCTGTAGAGTGGAGAACGGACAACGCGCAGTGACTATACCGAAAGAGCATAATGTTTGGAAGAGAAGATTGCGAAGGGAACTTACTATTGCAACGTGGTTTCGTAGACCAAACGCCGTTATTACAAGTATAAGTCGCACCAACTGTTGTATCTAAGGCATAACCGGTGTTGCAAGCAAACTGAATCGATCCTGAAAGAAATGGAATGACTAGAAAAATGTTTGCTGACAAAACGAATTACCAGTTGCAGTCGTAGCAGATGTATATGAAAGTGTGGAGCTGACATAGTAACCATTGGTTATAGTGAATGTGGATGCATCGAATGTGCATGCTACACCGCCACTTGATGTCACAGTAGTAGTTGTGATGCCCGATACTGTTGTCGTTGTTATTCCACCATTGTTGAAGACGCAACTCGGAAACTGAGACCACGAACCACTGCTCAAACAAGTGACATTCAGACTACCACCTGTATTCGCATATCCACTTGCACACGCAAACACAATAAATGAGTTCACAAATACAATAGAGGTATCTTGTGCGGATGCCAACAAATTCTTCTGGTCAACAATCTGAATACCACTGGCTGTAGAGATGAAGCTCTGTAGAGTGGAGAACGGACAACGCGCAGTGACTAGACCGAAAGAGCATAATATTTGGAAGAGAAGACTGCGAAGGGAACTTACTATTGCAACGTGGTTTCGTAGACCAAACGCCGTTATTACAAGTATACGTCGCACCAACTGTTGTATCCAAGGCATAACCAGTGTTGCAAGCAAACTGAATCGATCCTGAAAGAAATGGAATGACTAGAAAAATATTTGCTGATAAAACGAATTACCGGTTGCAGTCGTAGCAGACGTATATGAAAGTGTCGAGCTGACATAGTAACCGTTTGAAATGGTAAATGTGGATGCATCGAATGTGCATGGTACACCGCCACTTGATGTCACAGTAGTAGTTGTGATGCCCGATACTGTTGTGGTTGTGATTCCACCGGTGTTCAGAACACAACTCGGGAATTGTGACCACGAACCAGTACTCAAACAAGTGACATTCAGACTACCACCTGTATTCACATATCCACTTGCACAGGCAAAGACAATAAATGAATTCACAAATACAGAAGTGGTATCTTGTGCGGATGCCAACAAATTCTTCTGGTCAACAATCTGAAGGCCACTGGCTGTAGAGATGAAATTCTGCAGAGTTGAAAATGTACAGCGAGCGGTCACTTCAATGAAAAAAGCGGATTATTTGAAGAAAAGATTGATGAGATGTTATCAATTACTTGAGCAACGCGGTTTGGTTGACCAAACGCCGTTGTTACAAGTGTAGATTGCTCCGACAGTCGTATCGAGAACATAACCGACATTGCAAGCGAATTGAATTGAGCCTGAAGCAGTGGAACAAGTGAGGATCAAGTTCCAGATAGAGTATTACCAGTCGCAGTGGTTGAAGATGTGTATGTTAGTGCTGAGTTAGCGTAGTAACCATTGGTAATGGTAAAAGTTGATGCGTCTATGTTACAAGCTGCGCCAGTACTTGGTGCTACAGTGGTGGTCGATAATTGGTTAGGGATAGCTGTTGTCGTCGTGGTGAGAGAACCGCCTCCACTATTAAGTACACAGCTGGGAAATTGAGTCCAGGAACCAGTGGATAGACATGTTACATTGAGATTACCACCTGCGTTTACATATCCACTGGCACAAGAGAAAATCACGAAGGAATTTTGGAATACGACAGTTGTATCTTGCGAACTAGCCAAGAGATTTTTTTGATCTACAATCTGTAAGCCGGCTGCAGTGGATATAAAATTCTGTAATGTAGCGATGGAACATCGACCAGTGACTATAGTGAAGAATAGGCCTTCAAGAAAAAGAGATTAAGGAAATCTGTAACGTACTCGAACAACGAGGTTTAGTTGACCAAACGCCGTTATTACAAGTATACGACGCACCAACGGTCGGATCCAGCACGTAACCAGACGCGCATGCAAATATAATTGTTCCTGCAATACACAGTCACACACATATTGGTAGATCAAAATAGTATTCTACAGATGATATCTTTACCAGTTACAGTGGTAGCGGAAGTATAGGATAGTGTGGAGCTAGCGTAATATCCATTTGTGACGGTGAATGTCGTCGAATCAATGGAACAAGCTGCTCCTGTACTGGGTGCTATTGTTGTCGTCGAAAGCTGATTGGGAATAGATGTTGTAGTAGTGGTGATAGAACCACTGTTAATTACGCAATTAGGAAATTGAGTCCACGATCCATTGTTTAAACATGTGACGTTTAAACTGCCACCTATGTTAACATAGCCGGTCGTGCAAGCGAGCACTGCATAAGAATCATTGAAAACGATAGTAGCATCCGTTGAGGAAGCCATTAGTCGATTTTGACCAGTCGTCTGTATTCCAGTGGCCGAGAAGATGAAATTTTGCAATGTTGTATATGAACATCGACCAGTTACTTAAAAGATAGTTTTTCTATAGAACGATCAGTTGAAACGAAAGCTTACTTAGACATTGTGGCTTAGTTGACCAAACTCCGTTGTTACAGTTATACAGTGCGCCAATATTTGGATCCAATATATAACCTGGCATACAGGTAAATTGTATCCAACCTAAATCATATCGAATGATAATCATGATAGCATCTATTTGATCGATTGTATTTACCCGTCGCAGTCGTAGTTGAGGTATAACCAAGTGAAGAAAGAGTGTAGTATCCATTAGTAATGTTAAAAGAAGTATTGGGATCTACTGTGCACGGCAAGCCATTAGATGTGGCAATGGTTGTTGTCGTCAAAGAACCACTGCCAGTACTCAGTATACAACTGGGAAATTGTGTCCATGAACCATTATTTAAACAAGTGACATTTAAACTGCCACCCGTATTCACGTAGCCATTAGCACAAGCGAGAACAATATACGAGTCATTGAATACCACGACAGCATCTGCCGATGCAGCCATCAAGTTTTGTTGTGTAGTTGTTCTAAGTCCGGTTGCAGATGAAATATATGTTTGTAGCGCCGAATAAGAACATCGACCGGTCACTTTGAAAAGAAGACAACAAAATATTGTAAAGATCCTATGACATGAGAGTAATTTCGAAACATCTTACTCAAGCACCGTGGTTTCGTAGACCAGACACCATTGTTACACGTATACGAAGCTCCAATCGTTGGATCCAAAACGTAGCCTTGCGAGCATGCAAATTGAATTGACCCTACGACAACAAATAACATTGATACACGGTTAGATCTTCAATATGTGGATACCAGTAGCCGTTGTAGACGACGTAAAAGAGAGTGATTGACTAGTATAGTAACCATTAGTAATATTGAACGTTGACGTCATGTCAACTACGCAAGTTGCACCACTCGTCGAAACACAAGTGGGAAACGTGGTCCAAGCGGTGCCAACACAGGTTATATTTAATTGGCCGCTCCCATAGGTATAACCAGTGTTACATTTCATCGATATGAAAGAGCCCGAAAGAACACTATTCACATCCATTCCATTCGTTGGCAAACTGTAAGAGCCATCTGTAGTCATGGTTCGTACAACAGATGTATTTTGTAGAAAAGTATTTAGAGTTGACATTGAACATTGACCTAATTAGAGTAGATAAAAATGTAGAAGAATTCTCTTGTTTTTTATTCTAATTACCATGGCATAAGGTAATCAAAGTAAATAAAAATACAAACAAATGGAACCACTGCACCATTTCAGTTGAAAGGTTAAGGTATCGAACAGAGAAGCAATGTTAATGGTATTTCGCAGAATGATGTAGTTCTCATGAATGACAATGGAAATGAAATAGTACATTTTGTGATTCATTGGCACAAGTGTTTTTAATGGATATTTTTTTTTCTTTTCAAAAAATGATTAAGCGTAGGCATCAAAGGACGATATTTGTGATATGTTACAATAAGAAATTCAAAATAAACTCCGTTTAAAGATGGAATTGCCATCGGTTGACAAATATCCTTTTGTTTTCATCCTTTTTTTCTAAGCAGGAAATGACTGATAAATACGTCATCTGTTATTCTTGCTCGTCGAGAAAGAAACTATATGATAGAAATCTATGAACAAATGATTTGATTAACGAATAAAAAAACAACATATTATGCGCAAGGTTAGAAAAACAAATGCTCAAAGGCCACGTTCGAAGGATATCTTTTGATGGCTTGTAGTAATCATTGTAATTTGGTGTGTTCGTTCTCTTGTCAAGTAAAACATTCAAAAATCCATTTCTTATTTTGTTGAAACGTCCTTCTTGTTGTTTTCTGTCATGATAAGTCGATGATTAGAAAATACAACGATTTACACAGTCATATCTCTGTGACAAATAGTTAAAAAGCTACAAGCAAGATTTTATCTTCAAGGTAATGTTCTATACAATATGATATTGTTTTGCGATAAAATATACATGTACGATAGAAAACGGAATATGAAACGCAACTACCATGAAAGGACGTCTAGATAGATGTGTAAGTGAAGTAGACATGGTTTATTACGTTCGTTTTCTAATAATCAATCATTTAGTATATTACTCAGTTGCATTTGAGAACATATCGACAGAGGCGTTTGTTCTTTATACATGATTCGAACGATAGTTTATTTTTTCAGGTGAATTCTAAGAGCAGATAAGATCGAAAAGGAAAATGCCACTACAAGACGTTTCCAATGATTCGTCAATGATCGACTGGTTGCGACAAGCTGGCCATGGACATTTGATAGCTAAAGATCAGCAATATTCGAATATTTCTACATCAGCATCATTACCGAGCTTTCCACATACTGTGAATAATGATGAACTCTATCGCTCTTCACAAAATCGCTCGACAACGTTTGGTCAAGTAGCCAATTTTAATAAAGAATCCTATGACTATCATGATAATGCTCGACACTACACTTCGCTATCTCCACCACCACCTATGATCCCTAGTGGTTGTACTAGTGCTAGTCCGTATCATCATTCGTACAACCAATCAACATCGTTGAGTCCATCTCCAAATATTAATAACCTATCATACAACGCCCAGTACAATTCAATACCATCTTCAGTGCAATTTCAAGCACCGCACATGAGTCAATTTCAAACTGACGCTGATATTGAAGTAAGAAAAATACTTGCACATAACTGACTTTAATCATTGAATTCTTATCTCTTGTCTCCGCATGAATAGCATATGAAACATGATCCCAATACTCGTGTTATACATCGTCCACCAGAAAATGATGTGGTCTACCGACAGCGAGTAAGTAATCGCTTACCTCCATCAGCGTAACGCATTTCATTATCATAGGTTTTTGTAAAATATCTACAACCGCCTACACCACCAGTAGGTGGCGCTATTATTGTTCGTGAAAAACAATTACCACAGCCACCTCCTGACCCACCTCTCGTAATTAAAATGACTTTTCAATGACAGAAAATGATAATGGACTTCATGTTTGCCCTTGATATAGGTTATTCGACGCGCTCCACCACCTCCCCCAACTCCACCTCCAGTTGTTATCCGTGAAGTTAGTCTACGATATCCGTTCAATGCTTTCATTTATATCAATTCAAATAATATTTTGTAGCGACCACCGCCCATTCCACCACCTGAAGGCACTACAATTATCAATAAAATTATTCCACCTCCACCGAAGCCGCCTCGTCAAGTAATCATCGAGCAATATCCTCAGCTACCACCCAAACCTCGAGATGTTATTCTAGAAAAGTGGTTACCCGTTGCACCACGACAACGTCGTATTTTCTATGAACGTTTACCTCCTCCCAGAGTGAATCCTCCACCACGACCAATCGTTGTTCAACATGGACAACCTCCAGTGCGTATTCATCGGCAAGTCATAGCAGCACCTGGACCGCAACCTGTCTATCATCATGCTTCGCATCACACGGATCTCAACCAAATCTTGATGCAAGCCGGTACTCATCATCAACCCCATTCATTTGTAAATATGAATGTTGCTCTCTTCGTGAACTAAAATCTCATAAAATTCTGCTAATGAATATCTTTAGGTAGCTCCTTCATCTCTAGTATCATATAGTCCATATACAACATTCGATTCCTGTCACAGTGGCATTGGACATCCATATTCCAACGTAACGGTTGTGAACGATGCATATTCAAATGTTTTGTCATCATCGCCCTATGGATTACCATTATCTCACGTCTACTCACCGAATCCAGTGATTGGATTAGGTGCCTACGGAAGCAGTATATCAAGTATTCCATCCATTGGCTGCTCGGTTGGAGGACATTCGTCTGTATTCACTGTGCCTGGTAAGAGGAAACAATCACCATTAAAGATTTATTCACATCGATACTCTCGTTTATTTATTTAGAACATGTTGGTGTCGATAGTATTCTTCATCAACTTGGTGTGGATCCACATTCACTTCATTCAGCGTCAGGTATTACTTGTCCAAGCAGAAATATTGTTACTTATGTAGCACGTAGCTGTTGACATTCTATTCTATTTATTGCTTGCATGTTCATTGCTACAATTAACTAACTTGTTCGAAATAAATTTTATAGATATGCATCTGTGTGTGTTCTGAAACAAATAAAATAACTTAGATTCCTAGTAGTATTAATATTCTAACTCGATTATTCTCGTGTAGATACTCATATTTACTCCTTTTCAGACCCACATAGTGCAGTTGCACATGTGTGGAATGCTGCTTCACATGCAGTACAACACAATTTAACAAATCCATCATTTACAAGTTATAATACTGTTGAACATCATCCTCATCTACAAATAACGGGTACATCCACGAACTCTTGTTTTCTTCTCATTGAATGAATGTCATACATCTTTTATTCTAGGCAATGGTGATTTTCTACCGAATCATTATCTTCATTAGAACACGATTCGATCACTAAAGGAAACTTCGTCCTTTGCACATATAGTTTAATAATAAACAAAAGACAGAACTTAATCTTTTTTTTTCACTCTATTTTCACTCATACACAATGTGTTCGCATATAAAGACTATCTTGTGGCTCAGGTAAAGGCAATGGTTGTAACATTGACATTGAATTTGATGTTGATGGTGTTTTAATGGTTTCATAGTAGATAGAATCTGAATAATTTATCGAAGACAATAAACATGAGCCATAGTAGAATGGGGGTTCGTAATGATCGTTACTTGACGTGAAACTTTCTCGAGTGTAGTCATGAATGTTGGGCGGCGGTGCATAACGTGATCGTGTTACATTTGCAGGTGATGACAATGATAATGATTGTTGTTCTCGTAGTACAGCTGACAGTCGAGCAGTTGATTTGCGATTGAAATGTGATTTGTTCAAACAGGATGAAAACAGTTGCGAAGGCTTTTTTCGAGCGAAATAGATCAATATTGAAAGTATACAAATTAAAGCCACAATGCCAATGGCCAAGTAAACCGAATACCGAAACATATCAAAATCATCGATATAAATAAACGCTTCTTTTGTCGAACTTTCAGCTGTATACATTGTAGTCGCTGGCAAATCGAATTGAAATAGATCATCGAATAGTCTCTCGATTGAGTTGTACACTTACTATATTTTCGAGTATAGTGCTCACATGCTCGTAAATTCACATATGTTAAACATGTCACTCGACCATATGTTGCACAAGCAATCTTACAACTCACATTATTTCCTTGCAGACACGCATAAATATCACCTTGACAATAACCTCGAGAAAAAAGCAGATGAATTCAGATGAAGACTTTAAGTATCTACTGACAATTCTGTTCGTCGGACCCGTCGGAACATTGAGAAGAACCATTGCAGACGGACGTCCAAGATGTATGTTCGCCATTTCGACAGATAAAAAATTCATTCATGTCCGTAGGCAAACTATTCGTCGTTATACTACTAAAAGAAAGAGGAAAGAGAAGAGAAGAGCAACAAAAATCTATTTTCATTTATGCAAACAGTCAAGCCTATGACTCTCGTACCTAAGAGTCATTATATTCAGATTAACTACTAATAACAAAATCAATTGTCTAACAAGAAATGAATAGTTCATTTACTCTGCTCTGTACACATATACAACGGAAGTTCTTTTCTCTCGCAGATATTGAACAGTATATGATAGAAGAAAAGAAACGATGTCTCACTCTGAACCATTCACTTTTGTTCTCATAAATTCAAGATTGCAATTTCATAATACCAGTTTCAATAGTGTTAAAACAAGTGACCGAGCAACACGATAAGTGTTACTAGGAAAGAGAAGCCTGTTACTTCTATTCTATTGCTTATAAAACAATGCGAGAACGAGAGAAAGAGAAGTCATAAAAATAGAAACAAGAACTCTTTCTCATCTCATTTTCTTCATGGCTTCAGCGACTAGATCAGAGCACAAATCATTTGTCTTGGTCATCTCTTCTTATTTCATACGATCATCTTCAACAATCATTCAAACTAAATAAAGAAAACGATTCGCAGTGTCCGATTACTCGCTGTACATCCTACGCATTCATCTAATCTTGACAAGGTCATTTTTTTTTCAAATTCAAAGAAGAAATGAATTAAAGCTCGTATGAACAAACGATTGAGCGCGAAAGATTTTCCGTTCTCGTTTATGTCTGATACGCTAAAACTTGAAATACCAATTGATGATGATCTACTACATAAATCGAAACCGAAAGGAATCCGATCAATCGTTAGTACCTTTCTACCGTTGAACAAGGCAAAAACCACTTTGAAAAAATCGGATCCTAATGAAAAGGATAACCAGTCAGAGAAGGAACAAATTATTGTCAATCGTTTTATCACGAGTAAATGCATAGGTAACGGTGGATTCGGCGAAGTACGTTCGAACTATCGATTGCAATGAAGAAAACTTTCCGCATAAACTTAGGTTTATCTAGCTAAAGATACACAGCAAAATGATCTATTAGTCGCAGTTAAATTTGAACGTACGAATACTCAGCGTCGACAACTACCCATCGAAAAGTGTGTCTTCGAAATTATGCATGACAGCATCCACATACCACGACTGTTCTATTTTGGTACTCATAATGAGTACACGATACTTGCAATGGATCTCTTAGGACCGTCAGTGGAAGATCTGCTAAGTTTTACTGGACGCAAGTTTTCTTCGAAAACGGTTTGTATGATCATGGAACAAGTTTTACGTGGAATTGAAGCATTGCATAACCGTTCAATAATTCATCGAGATTTGAAACCGGATAGTAGGTTTAATCATTGAACGAAATTCATCAATACACATTCTGTAGATTTTCTATTTGGTCTTGGAGCAAAATCTCACCTTGTGCATTTAATTGATTTCGGTCTTTGTAAGAACTATCGTCATCCATTAACTTACGAACATAATTCCTATCGAATTGGTAAAACATTAACAGGCACAGCACGTTACTGTTCACTGTACACTCATCATGGAATTGAACAGTCGAGACGTGACGATATTCAATGTTTATCTTATATTATGATTTATTTAGCAAAAGGTTTTTTACCTTGGATGTCAATCAAAATGTCGCATCGTAAAAAGCGCAATGAAAAGTTGATGGAAATTAAAGAAAGCTTAACGGCAAACGAATTATGCGAAGATTTACCATATGAATTTGAATTATTCTATAAATATTCGAGAACATTGTCATACACTCAGCGGCCTGACTATGGATATCTAAGAAATTTATTCCTAGCAGTCATCAATCGTTTGAATGAAACATTTGATTATATCTACGATTGGCATTTGATTGTAAAAATGTTTAAAGAAAATCTCAAAGAAGGAAGACCAATTTTAATGAAAAGAAAAGATTGATGTCGAGCATCGTTGTACAGCGCGACCCCTATCTTGAGCATAACCGTATACAATAAGTATTGGACAGGTCGAAAAGTATATCAAATAAACATCGAAGAAAATTTTGATTACGGTGTTGTGTTTTTTTTTAAGAGATAAAACGCTTAATTTGACGGTAGAGATATAAAAAGCGATTTTTCTTATCAAATGGCATTCCAATCTTTCATCGTAGAATGTGATGAGAATAATAACTCAAAAAATTTCTTCGATGTCATTCTTTCGGCATATCTCGAATAGGCAAAGCATGTCAAGCAATGTTACTTCGGTCAATGAAAGCGATTTAATCGATCGATGTATGACAATTTTAAAGCACGATGGTGTCTTAGCGGTACCAACTGATACGATCTACGGTTTAGCTGCATTAGTCAGCAGTGAAAAAGCTGTACGCCGCATTTACGAAATCAAAGGCCGATTATTTACAAAACCATTGGCTATCTCAGTTGGTAATGTCGAAGATCTATTTACATGGTCAAAGCCAACGTTGTCGAGCAAACAATTATCAGATGGTAATCTTCTTCCTGGTCCGGTGACATTGATGTTCGAACGTCAACTTGCATTACCATCGTATTTCAATCCCAATGTAAATAACGTCGCCATTCGTATTCCAAATCATCAGATGATGATTGAATTAGCGCGACGTTTAGATGAACCGATTGCATTGACAAGTGCAAATATATCCAACGGTCCAAGTTCAGTCTCAATTGATGAATTTCAATCATTATGGTCACAAGTAGATTTAGTTATTGATGGAGGTGTACTAGCATCAAATGATCGACGTGGATCAACTATTGTTGATCTCTGTGAAAAAGGATATTTTCATATTCAACGTCAAGGAATTAATTGCGAAAGAATTGTACGATATCTAAAGGAACAGTGTCAATTGAAAGAAAAATAAACGAATTCAAACAAAGTTTTTTCGTTTTCCTCTAAACCTACGAAATACCAGATTGTTCACTTTTGCTCTTCAGATCTCGTAGATAATGTCATTATCAAAACTTGAAAGTCTTGCCAATGAAACTATTCTGGAAATCTTCGATTATCTTCGTCCAATAGATATCATTCGAGCATTTGAATTGCTCAACGAACGTTTCCAAATTCTTATTATTCAACGTTCATATCATGTCAATCTATCAATGAATCTTTCGCTCAATGATTTCAATGAATACTGCTCAATAATTCTTCCGAACTATTGCTCATCGATTCATTCAATTTACCTTTCGAACTCAGAAACATGCGGATGTATGAGTTTATTTTTTCAAAGATTTCCTCACGTGGAAGCAATATTTCCCAATCTGAGAACGATGATATTCATTGATCCGAATGACAATGATTATAGTCAAATCATTAAAATTAAACAATTAACAACGGTTCATCTTAAATTTAGTCAAGTCTATGAGCAAAAGATTCATCTGGCAGCACTCTTCGACAATCCAAATTTACAAACGTAAGAGTAATCTTTCCACTCGAATCTGACGCGTTTTTATCTACATTCAGATGTATTCTTTCTTATGATGATCTCTTACCAATACAAAAATTCCGTTCGAACTCATCTCTTAAACGACTTGTCCTTGATAATTTTTACATCAATGATTTTCATTTACTCTTCTACTTGTATCCATCACTCGAACACCTGGCTATCAATCGACTGCTCGTTAACTTTCACGGTTACCTACCACCGTTCAACGGACCGGTGCGTACACTTCATACACTCAAACTCAATTGTGCATACACAGTTCAGTTTGATTATATTATGTATCTTCTTTCATTTCTACCGAATCTCGTTCGTTTCACACTCATTGCTATTGGCATGGACTTCTTCAACGCAGAACAATGGATACAAATCTTGTCATCCTTGGAACAACTTCGAAGTCTTGTCTTTGATCTCAAAGCCGTACCGGAAATGTTTGACAATAAACTAGCATCTTCGTTTCTCACCCCATACTGGCATCGATGGCGTATAGCTGTGGATTATTCTGAAGACAATAGGAAATACCATCTATTCACAATCCCGTATCATCGCATATCATTTATAAGCACAATCTACTCCGTATCTACTATAGAAGCACCACCTCATACGTTTGATTCAGTGACACATTTGTATCTAAAGATGAATACTCCCGTGCAGGTAAAACATGGCAATATAGAAAGTTGAAAACAGTATCATTTTGTAGATGTGTTCCAATCGAAAGTATCCAAATGTTTATGCCTTACAGATCTATCAAAATACGATCATCACGGTGGATTATACGAATTTATTTAGCCGACTTTGTACAATGATTGATACGAATAAACTAGTTCATTTAGAACTCTTTGTTTCATTGCCTCCATCGATTTTCCTTGCTTTACTTAAATCAACACCATGTTTACGATATTTCAAAACAGACTATGAAATTCTCATGGTAAGTTCGATATTCTTTGCCATTCAATCGAATCACTTCTATCGTTCTAGATTTTGACGGATAATCTTCAAAATGATGATATTTGTTCGGAATTACATAATAAACTCAATAAATTAGTGATTCGTCAAGGTGTCTTACCACTCGCTGATAAAGATCGTTTCGCTCAAATATTTTCCAATTTAAAATATTTACAAATTCATTTATATACAGTTTACGAGTTACGACTACTCCTATGGACATTCATGAAGATCATGTTTCAGCTTCAGACATTACATGTACGGCTCATCGGTACGGATGCATCAATTGATTCACTTCAATGGCAAGGTGTGATCAACAACATTAGCTATGAAATAGCTAAACGACATATTCAAATTTGGAAATAAACATTGAATTTGGAATTCTAATGTATTCTTGTTGTAATTTTCTCAATGAATAATATAAACGAGCACGATTCGAATGACAACACGCTGCGTACGAATCAAAATCGATATCAGATATGAATAATAACAAGCGTTATTTTCTATGACGATATTCACCTTGTTTGTTGACGTTTTGTTTTGGACTCATTGCCTTCGTTTACCTACGTAATAATTCAAGCTTTATTTTGATTATTCTCGAATTTGATCAATCCTAATATTCACCTTAGCGTGGGTATTTTTCTGTGTTCTTATTCATGTTTATCTCAGCTCTTTTCCTCTTTAATCTTTAATGATGAAAATCACTCAAGTATGAAAAAATACGATTAGATTTATAAATATATATATATATATGCACATCAATCGAGCCTTGTACATTCATTTTATCCTATTATTCAAATCGATAAGTATTTACATTCGTCATGGCGGCACTCTCGGAAGAACAACTACGTAAAGAATTTCGTCGTGTTGATAAGGACGATGACGGTTCAATCACCATCGAAGAATTAAGAAAATATTATCTTCCAATGCAAGAGATGCTTGGTGTTAGACCTGAAGTTGCTGAACAAGAAATTCAAGGTTTAATCAAACGACTTGATAGTGACAATAATGGAACAATCAGTTTTGAAGGTAAAATCATCGTGCAAAGATTCATGAAGTCTATCCTAAATCTTGTTTCCTTTTAGAGTTCAAATCATTCTGCTCTGGATCATAATTCAACACAATTCATTGATGAATACATAGACTTTTATTTGAATTGTTTTCTTTCGGTTTATATATAATAAAAACTAAAGCAGAGTGAAATTTGAATGTTTCGGAATGATCACCAAACTGGTATCCATGGTGCGCGTGCTCGGAAGGTTTTGTATGTTCGACTTTTCTTGTTCAATCTGTGCTCATAATCTTCATCATCATCCGTTTGGGTTTGATAACCAGTGTCCCATAAACTAGAACGTGGTTTTGTATTCACAGGATATCGCTCCTAGAAGGCAAAAGAAGAACAAAATCTTTAACTGTGAACAGTACGGATGAAATATTTTACGAGAGTAGTTGGTTTCAGTGGAACGTATGGATGATGTCGTTCAACGCGGTAACGTGGTTCATAGAGTGGCGGTCGCTCTTTCTTTTCTGAATGAGTAGTGGTAATAGGAGGCAGGGTTCTATTGTTGGTGTTGTATTTAACTTCACGGTACGGTTTGTATGTTCGTGCTGTATATGGTGATTGATAGTCGAAAGTGTTATTTGTAGAATGTTGTGCTATCATATTAGTTTTGCGAGGTGACGTTTCGTTGTTTGTATGAGATGGAGGTGGTGGTTGAAGCGATACGTGAGGACGTAGTCGACGTTCTTCACTCGCTGGAATGATGATCAGTTCCGGTTTGGGCACGGATGTGTCTAGAAACACGCATGCGTTAATTACGGAACTAATGAAATAAGTTACTCACCTTTTGGTTGCGTTTGCCGTGATGTTTTTGTTACTGGATAAGTGACAACGTCTTCGGTGATAACATCTGGCTTTCGTTCGAGACTACGACTCAATCGATGAGTGGTTACGGTGACGGGTGCTGGCGGCGGCGTCTTTTTACGAACAGGTGGTCTAAATGAATTCCAGAAACGCACAACTATTAAAAGTATTAATAGGATTTTAATTACTTCGATCGAATCTCTTGTGGCAGTGGCGAAAGCGGTTTACCAACTAATGCATAGAGTGTCGGTGTTGCCATTGCCTCCTGTTGTTGTTGTTGTTGGTTTTGTCTTCGAGTACTAGATCCATTGTCTAATGTATAGATAGCCGTATCCTTCGGAGGTGCTGGTATTATTTGCTGTTGTTGTTTTCGAGCGTTTGGCTCGTTAGCTAATGTATACATCATCGCGCCCTTTGGAGGTCCAGGCGTCGGTTGTGGTTGCTGTTCGCGAACATTGGGTTCGTTATCCAATTTAAATATTACTGGCTCTTTTGACCGTACTGGTGGTGACAATGGTCGAGTTTGTTTTGGCTTTTCAACTGTAATAGGTGCATCATCCACGATAGTATATAGGATCGGTGCTGGCTGTGTCGGAGTGGGTGTGCTTACTTGAACGCCACGAGATGTGCGTGCCGGACTACCTGTAACTGAATAAACATTGGGTGTCGCTTGTAAGTGTTTTTTAGATGGTTCAGACATTTCATTCTGTAAACGTGAATTTCCAGCCCATGAATAAACAATAGGAGTTTTGTCGATTACTGGTGTCGAACTTTCCAGTGTATTACTGACCATGTCGACGGTACGAGGTCGATTATTGAGAGAATAAAGTACGGGTGACGGTGGTTGTTCAGTAATCGTCACCGGTTGGCTAGATCTCGGTGTATATTTTTCACCAGCAACGCTGTAAAGGACGGGTTGCGATATCACTTGCGGTTCGAGGAAAACAATTTGTTCTTCGTAGGGTTTTTCTGCTTGGTACTTAGGTGAAACGTCTCGTTCTGAAAAATGCGAATATTTTCTTTTCACCATCAAAATCATCATACTATACTTTGATTAATACGTGGCAATTCATCGGTTGACTCCGAATTGATGTAATAGACTTTCGGATCCGACTTTTTCGGTAGATACTGTTGTGGAATCGGTTGATAACGTGTTCCAAGTGTATACATTGATGCTGACGGTGCATCTAGCACTGAAACTGATGACGGTGACCGATGCTCAACCAGTGGAACATGTCGATCGGAAGTGCCGACGATCGATCGAAGTACCACATTTTCTACGAAGCGAGAACATATTCACGAAAATGACCAAACGAGTGCTTTCTACAAGCATACCTTTGTTATCAGGTCCATCGCCATCTGACCTGCTGTAGACTCGTGTTGGATAGGTTTCCATCGTTTCGTTTGCTAAAAGTGAATGATAAAGCTTACGAGAAATCAGAAGAATGAAGATTGTTCGCAAAACTAGTATACGTTCTTCTTTGATTGTCACCTTATAAACAAATAAACTCTGTCGGTCTGTTTTCTATCAATTTAGCTGAATAATTCATATTTGATTTCCACACAACTTACTTGGCTCTTCATCCATCATGTTTGTTTCTGTCAACAGACTACTTTCACATGAAAATGAACAAATATACTAATGAAAGTACTTTTTTCTTGTGGAGCTTAATAATTAAAATTTTATCGGTGCCTCGACATCTTATCGTCTTCTGTCGAATAAGAATAAAAAGCTAAATTCCGATCGTTCAGTGAAATCTTTTTTTTTTCTTTTCGTCAAATGTGCGTGTTGAATATAACAAGATTATGACTAAACAAACATACATTCTCTGCGATACAAATTCTTGATCGATTTCATAAAAGAATTTGAACGTTACAAACCTCTTTAACTCTTGACAAAAGTGAGTTGAATTCGTTGATTGATCGTATATCAACAGTGAATCAATATTTGCCTTCTATTTCTCTGTAAATCGATCTTCTATATCATACAAATCAAAGACGAATATCAGTGGACTCAATCGCTTTATATTTTGTTTTATCTTCATCAGGCAAACAAGACCAATTTAGATTAGGAAGATTTACTTTTACAAATAGAAAAACACGCAATTATTATGTGAGTAATTGTCAGTAGCTTAGTGAAATCGTTGACGAACGTAGTTACGAACGAAAAACAACTTTCTATTATGATGACGGTGAAAGGAAGAAACCTTACACTATCAAAGCTTATCAAATATATTTGATGACATTTTTTGCAATAATCTCTGAGAGAGACATCAGATGGAAGCATGAGTTGGCGTTAATTACATAACGAGTTTCGCCTAAGTGAGTGTTTTGCTGTATTTTGATATCCAGAGATTCGATTGAAGGTCGTAGGAGGGATATCCTACGAACAAAGGGTGACGAAACTTAATATCGCTGACTTCGAGTGTTGTATTGAAATCGACGATCGGATGAATGCATCGATCGATTATAATGTATAGAAAATATTGATTTTATTTTAACTGAGTTGATGAAAAAATCAAGCAACACACAAATAGAAATGTTTACTTCGGAAGAGAAAGGAAAGAGATCTTTTATACTGGTATACCAGCAGCTTTCCAATTATTGTGCATTGTTTTAATTGAAGCTGCTTGTCGCTGTACTACAGGCCAATATTGTTCCGATGTTCGAACAGGTTTTACTCTGCTCAGTCGGTTGATCTTTTCGAGAAAGAGAAAGTAGTCAGTACGAAAAAGTTCATGACTTACTAGTGCATCAGTTTCTCCTACGGATAGATATCGTTTCGTTGTTGTCGCTGGCGGAAGAGGTGTATGTCGATCGCGGCATCGTACGGGACTTGTTAAGCGTTCTACAACTTGTGTGACTTGTTCCGATGAAATTTGTTGATAGCCCAAGGGAAATGGCGGATGGACAATGGTGCCCCATTTTTGTCGACTTCGAGGCTGAGGTGGTCGGGTATTCAATGTGTCTGTTAGTCGACCATAATCGTCAACATAGATCTTTTTGATTTCATATGTACGTGTCATGAATGTCTGACTGAAATTTGATGAAATTGTTTGTCGACGATCGACATTTTCCGAATTGGTTTGAAAAGAACTCTGGTTCGATAGAGAAGACTCTGCTCGCATACGATCATTGAAGCTGTTATTCGATGTATTCTCACGAGAAAGACCAAAACGTGTGTGATTTTGTATTGTCGATTTTAAGTCAGATATCTGACTGTTTGCCGTCGAACCATTGACTAAACGAGAGGATGATATTTGCTTTGATTGAGTCCGTCGGGCAGGTAATAGTAGTGTTGGCGAGTTCTTGTTCCGCGCATGGACGGCTCCAGAAGATTGATTCTTAATATATCGTGTTTTGGGTTTCTCAGGTTCTATGACAAATGAGACTTGTGTGCTTATACTGCTATCAGTAGCAAAAGGCATCGGTGTTTCTACAGCAGACAGAAATTGAGAAATACTTCGAGGAGATGAATTTTCTTGATTAAATGGTAGATTGTTGTAATTTTTCTTCGGATCATTATCTAGATAGCTTTTCGTCGATTCGAAATCACTAAGTATGTCGTATTCTCGATCGGAGTCTGACCAATCAGAAATAGCATCGGCTCCATCATCAGACACTGATTTCAATCGATTTTCTCGTGACTGACGATGTTGGGCACGACTAGAGGCTAGATGATCCGTTGTTGGAATATTCGAATAATCTCTGGATCGAGATCCACCACGACTGTTTGCCATTTTGTCAATCTGATAAAAACACAAGCAGATAGATTATCTTCTATCATCATTTAGCATTGAACTGTGATACAAACCATTCACTGTTTATTAAACCTTGCTTCTCCTTCTTCTTCTTCTCAATGATCAACTTGCAAGTAGAAAGGCGAGAATTGAAAACAGAATTCTTTTTTTTTTCATCTTTTTTTCTCACTATTTTGAATTACTTCAATGAAGTGGCCTCTATTCATACGCTAATGGACATCGACAGCATGCTCACTTTTGTTCCACGCACAAGTGAGAAGGATGACTGAAACGTAAAGGATTGTTGTAAAACAATAACAGTGTATGTAATTGCGCTTGCTTAATCTTGCACCTATAAGAGTACAAAGTGTAAACTTCAAGGATGTGAGAAGACAGTCCCATCGGATGAAAGTGATAATACGAATGAGTCTGATTGTCATGACGCTTTGTTTATAACTGCGACGTTATTCTGTCGTTCTCTATGTAAAATAGGAAACATAAAAACACACCCCCAGAATATGTAGACGTAAAAAACCTTTCTTTTTCTTAAAAAAATCGCCAAAGGCACCATCAACGCATAGTACTCGACGAGACATTGGGTAAAACATCCAAAGATAGAGTTGAGAAATACAACACTTCGATGGAAGACGATGACAACCAACACAATTGTTCATGTCAATTTGCCATTTCGAAACAAATTACATTTGACGACGCTGTCAGATTGACACTATTTTATTAAAAGAAAAACCGAAAATTATCTGACAGAGAAAGAGAGAGAGAGAGGAATTAATTATTCGAATAGAAATCATCTTGAAGAGCACAGGCAAGTGCGCGTAGTGGGGAATCAATCATTCGAGGTAAGAATGGTTTGAGAACAATGGAAATAAATTGTTTTGTTTGATTAAATTCTGTTTTTAATTTGTTAATATGTTCAATTTTAATTGAATCAAAGCCTAATTGCCAACGTCGTGCAAATATGGTGACAATTTCAAATAGTTTCATCAATTGCTCGCGAATAGCTTGTTGTTTCGGTTGTAGAAGACTACCGATTGCGAGCGCTATGAGAAATTTCTCATGATAAACGATCATCGATTCAATATCGATCGACTTCGCCGAATGTTTTTCAACAAATTGTTCTCCAGCTGTATGAAACTAAAGTATCAATCAGATGTTCAGATCATTCGCTAGTAACTATGACTGATACATACCGTAGTGAGAACGAAATTATTCACAGCATTGACAGCATGAAGAAGTCGAGCACGTAAAAGAAACATTTCATGGTGTAATTGATAAGATTGATGGCGATAGAGTCGACGGTTACGGACACGATTTTTCACGCGAAATTCTAAATAAAAACGAAAGGATAATCAGAAACACTGATAGTACCAAAAGAAGATTTCGTCCTAACCACTAAAAACTAATTGATCTAGCACATATTTTGCTTGCTTGACTTGTAAAACGAATGCAAAACATTTCTGATAGGTTTCCATATGTTCCGGCTTGACAATGATTACTAGTTCTTTGGGTAAATCATATTTTAATTGAACATTTTGTATGATGTACTTTTGTGTAATGGACGATTCTGTTGCCGATTGAAATATCACACTCAATGGATATTGAATTTTATCCAGACCGAACATTGTTAGTGTACTATCGAATGAAACGAGGACTGTGAATGCATCTAGACGTTCGTGGATTGTTTGAGACAATTTCGCGTATAGTCGCAGTGCGAATTGATGCATAAATGAGCCGTTTTCGAAGAGAAAAAAGTTTCGAATATACTCGATATGTTTTAAATAGCTCAGTCGATGCAGAATATCATTGGTGAGTTGATTGATTAATTGAGTACATTTTACCAACAGGATTTGTTCGCTGAAAGTCTGCAGAATACACTCGATATTCGACGATTGATTGATACTTGAAGAAAGACATAACTGCTGACTAGAATCGAGAGGAGATCATGTATTAGACAAAATGAAGTGAATAGTTTACTGAGTGATATCGAGTAAAGTCGGTTTGGACATTTGCATTTGATTGAATGCTAATGCGAGGAATGAATTTCTTTCATTATCGATATCGTCGAATAACAAGTTCAAAGAAATCAGTGGACTTGACTTTAGTGGTTTTACAAGAGTATTCATTTCAGAATCGTGTATGATAGTTAGAGGAGTCCAAGTTTGTTTTGTTAGGTTACAGTTCGCTTGCAAATACTGTGAAAACTTTTCCACGAATGATTGTGATTCTTCTTCATCTATACAAACAAACATGATATGATAGAATGAAAGAAATTCTTCAGAAATGATTACTTGTTAAAACACTATTTGACTTGAGAATTTCGGCACATTTGCCCGCTTTGATCAATGATGGAACTATTGATGCTAACCATCGTGGTATTAATCTACATAATCAAACACAAAACAAAGTTAAGAAAATGTAATCAGTTTGACTTACGAGGCATTCTCAACTTGTTCTGTATATGATTGATGCCAGAAGTCCAAAGCTTCTACCGACACATCAGTTTTCCTGAAAATCAATTCGTTTCTCATCTGGAGGAAAACTTCAGTTCTCTTACCGTTTGATGAAGAATTCCTCGAAAGGATCATCTAGATTTCCATTGGCTAACCAATTCTGAATGATTTCCAAATAGATTCGACAACTTGATATAAAAAGTGGAAGGAAAAAATTCTAAAGCGCATTTCATTTCGAAGATCACCACACATGACCAAACTTACGAAAAACGTCAAATTATTGATCATTTCTGACATAAGCACATTCTTGTACAGAACGTGTATTAATTCCAATGTTAAATCACAATTGAGTTTTTCCACATCGAAGAATATCTGATCGAATATCCGTTCGATGCATTCACCTTTGGAAATCAAACCTAAAGAATCTAGTTGTTGGTAAAACGAGAGAATCGTGTATGTATGGTCTAAATCGAAGAAGATTGACTTGAGAACGCCTGTGGAATGGTCAACGAACTTTGTTGAAGAACGGATTTTTCAATGTCTGCCAGTTGAAAGTGAATAAGAGTCATTTGGTCTCGAAGTGTTTGAGCAAATGACGAAACAGTTCGACATGAATGAGTGATTTTCTTGAGAAATCTATTGGCTAATTGAAATTGATTTGAAAGTAAAGTAAATTTTTGTAAGCATTCTTGAATAGCAACCTAAAACAACCGATATATGTGTAGATATAAGTCAAGCTCACTGTTCACCTACCGGTGTCACATCACACAGGCGAACAAAGTCCGCAACATGCACTTGCTCATTCTCATCGATAGAATATACATGCAATTCATTCGAATTCATCAAAAGCCTAAAGAAAGATTCAATTGCAATCAATACGAAATCATTTCGTTGTACCAAAGAGTTTCGCGAATCAGAATGTATTCAGTCACTGTCTGTGCGTTCACTCGATAAGCTAAATGGGTTGTTTTCATCATAGTTTGATCCCTGAAGAAATCAAGATGTAGATCAAGTTTTTCGGTAATTCTATTTACCAGAACAGAGCGAAGTTCCGAAGTGCTGGTGAGACATCATCGGCTTGTTTGCCATGCCAGTACGACGTGAGAATCTCTCGATCAAGCGATGAACTATGTTTTTCAGAATAGACATAAGGGTTATATTGAGTTTTCTTACTAATTCTGCTGTTCGATATCATCGATTGGTTTGGATTCCAGTTCAATGTCAACTATTGTGTCATTCTGAATGGAAGTGGAATCAATTCGATCATCGTCATCGGTGAGACTCTCGTCCTAAAAGAAATTTCTTGATTAGTGTTTTCGAAGCATTTCTTTACATCTTGATAGTCGTCGGAAGCAATCGGTTGTTGGTAATCATTTCCAAGTAAAAATACAGGCCAATTGAAATTCGCTTCCTCTACAAAGAAAATTCATCGACACTAAGATCAATTTGATGGATTCTTCTTACCAACTTGTTCATGAACGAGATGAGAGAAGTCATCTAATTCTACATCCAATGGTCTTCGAGCTAAGGAAATGATGAACTGTAAACACGACAGATGAAGTTCACTCTAAGGATAACAATCGTAGAAAAACGACGTAAATTTCATCTAGTGACTTTTACTTCTGGTGAATGTTTCAACAAAGGTCGATTGTTGAATCGTTTGATAAGAAATTCCAGTAGATCAGCCTTTTTATCTTGAGCATGAACGATATATTTTTCTTTCAAACTAAGACAATCATGCATTGAAGAGTAGAAAAGCAGTCAATGGTGTCATACCCCTGGACACTTTTGTCGACATGACGTTTTTCGACATTGACATTCGAACGATGTATAATCGCATCTTCAAATAGTTTCTTGTGTGGATTAAATCGATCTGAAAGCTAGAAAAGAGCAAGTTGACGCGTTTATCGCGGGTGCAATCTTACGGTTAATCCAGTAAGATCATAAACGATTTCGTTGAGGGTTGGTTGAATCGATTTTAAAAAGTTGCTCATCTAGAGAAATGACACAATCAATGTTTTGACTCGAACAGAGGACGCAAGTTGTTTCGTAGAATAAATAAACTCGAGATTTATGATAAACAGGAGTTGTCTAGTGAAGAAACAAATAGGGTTACTGTTATTTACTTTGGTATGGCAAGATTTTGATTGATATACAAAATATGACGGATGAATTCTCGCACTGAAGTCTATCTCTTTCTCCGTCTCGGGAATGACTAATGTATACCTGACTGGTCAACTTCAGACCAATTGATTGAGGAGAAAAGAGGGCATTTCATATTTGACTTGAACATGATTGTCATCGAAAGTAATTTCGAAACATGACCGTATTTAGAAAGACAGACACGACGAGTTTTTGATAATCATCTGTTTATCTTGGATCATTTTCTCCATTCTTTCTTTTATCTGACTCATGTCATTCCGTATTTGGGCATACTGAGCAGAATAAGGATAAAGCAATGAGTAGTTATCAATATTTTGAAATCTTTTCTCCCAATGACTGCTAGTATAAAAACTAGTTGATATGAAACACTTTTCCATTCGTTTATTTCCGATTATTCCTGCAAACAAATCATCCATATTCGTCGTTGCTCTCATATTCATACTCATACCACTAATCTCATACATCGATATTCTCAACCATCAACACTGTATTCATTATGGCTGGTTCGGTAAGTGACCCGACGATATTCTATCTATTTCTTAGTATTTTCCCTTCTCCATACTGTTGTCCGTATGCCTATCTAACTTCACAGGAAAGAAATGAAGAAGAAGAAGAAGAGGAAAAAAGAAAGACATCGCCTATCGATGATATCTGCTTCATGTTGTGAGATATACGCCCGTTCCTGCTGACGGATAATAATTGTAGTTGCCATATACGAGAATAGGACAAGAAAGATGCTCGATTGTACTCTACTCGCTCTCGCTTGATGATTCATAAGAGCAACTAGTATAATATCAACACACTGTATATGGAATTGTTTTGGTAGGTATACTGCATAAGAAAAGAACAGAAAGAGAGAGAAGAGAGGGAGGAAAAACATCGAGAGGCGATCCCAAATAGGGCATCAATTGTATATTTCCACTTTCTTCTTCTTCTGTTTCTTCGACTAACGCAAACATCTAAACGACGTAGATTCTAATGGTAAGAAACACGTGTAAGAACTTTTATTTTTACTAAAGGAAAAAAGCAAAGAACTTTTGGAATAGTTTCAAATGATGTGAGATGTTTCATCCATCGAATAATTTCTTGGAAGAAAGTCAGCCAAGTTTTTATTTGTTTTAGGCTTCAGGAGTCAAAGTTGACAATTCTGTGATTGAGAAATTTCACGAATTCAAAATCAAGAAGAACTGTGGCTATCTCGTTCTTGGTTTCAGTGAAGATATCTCGAAAATCGTTGTTCTCAAAGAAGGCCAAAACAAAGCCCCACAAAACGCACCTGCCAATGACAAAAGTAAACGCTTCCGATGCGTAGTCTTCCTTCATTAATAGAATTATTCTATTTTCTTTCTTGAAGATAAGAAATGGGCAGAAATGCTGGAAGAATTACCAGAAAATGATGTACGATACGCCGTAATCGATATATTCTACGAGACAAGTGAAGGATCACGTGCAGAAATCTATTTCATTTCATGGTAAAGATAACATGAAGCTGATTCGTTTCGTATACTCTCGTCGTCAACTTGTTTTAGGGCACCGGATAGCGCGACAATTAAACGTAAAATGTTGTGTGCATCAAGTAAAGATGCTTTGAAAAATGCACTTCAAGGTATTCGCAATCATTTACAAGCAACATGCAAATCCGATCTCGATTTAGCAGCAATTATTAGCGAAAAAACCAAATCCAAGTAGATTAAGATTTTTCAAATAAACCAGACATTCTTTCTTCAACACTTTTTTTCATTCTCGCTCTCTCTCTCTCTCTCTTTATCTTTTTTTTTGTATCTCGATCACCGTTTACTTAAAAAGAACAAAACTTTTGTGCTATTATTAATAATATTATTATTATTATTCTTTTTCTTTTTTGTCGGTTTGCATGTTTGGTCTCTTCGTCTTCTTATTTTCAGTTCATGTCCACGCTAAAACAGAACATCGTTACAACTACGGTATATATAAAAAGATCCGAATGAGAGAATAACAACCCTTCTTTTTCTTCTGTCTTTTCGAATGACGATTTTCACCTGCTTTGCTATAATTGTGTCTCATGCGACAATAAAACAACGACGCAATTGATATACATGAACAATGAATAGCAACGTCTGCGCATGCATTGATTTTCAAAAGAAGTTTTTAGAATCTCCGAGACGTACACTTATCTATTCGTTTGGTCTGGTTAATTACATTTGAAGACCAATGTATTTTCTACATCCGCAGCCGTAGGACGACACAGATAGAAAAGAAGATATCTATTGACATACTAATGAATCATAAATACTTGTTTGAAACCTTCATTCGAGGAGTGTTTCCTATGTAAATAACTTCTTGCTATGATCTCTGTTTATTACGTATGGGAAATATATCAAAAGGAAAATATAACAATGCGAAAGTATACAGTTGCCACAGTAGAAGACAACGACCGGTATTATCAGCATAAAAAACATCGTCAAAATTTGGCTTGTAAGAAAAACATATGACTTAGAACTAAAATAGATGCAACGAGTGAATAACGGTCAACTAGTCGCGTGGCATATGAACATTTGGAAAATGATGTTTGATTTTCTCCTTCGTGCACGAAGAAACACTTGTGTGGTCGTTCACGGTATGGTGTCGTTTTCAAACGTGTACACCATTCCTCTTTGGTGAATTCGACGGGTCTACGTTTGATGATCAATTTGGGACAGGTCACCGACGCTTCTTTCGAATGATTGACATATAGTAGCATTAAATTACTCTTCGGAATCTTTGATATCGAATAGCTAAACATATGGAGAAAAATGTATCGAAAAGATTTATGTTTGATTTAGTATTTTTACCCGAAAGATTCATAGAAATTAAGTCGGGATTCTACGGTTGAACTGTTCGTTCCATTTTCATTTACACTCACGACTGTTTCTCTTGAATAAATAGCACAATCAACGGCGCCATGGACTGTATTAGCACGTTCAACCTCTTCCCATGTTAGTCGATTGTCTTTCGACGGTAATGGACCTTCCCATCCTTTCCATGTTGATACATAAAGGTTAAATTCTTCAATACATGACAATGGAATTCGACCGACTGATTCATCTTCTTTCGTTCCATTTATTTCTCGATGATCCAAGATCGGTCGACGGAAGTCAATATGTGTTAAAAGAACATTACTAAGACTCTCTCGAGTATGTGTCGGTGGTTTTTCAGGTTCGAGAGTAAGGTTTTGATTGTTATGAGACTTTCTTGATGCGTATGTCCAACGAGGAAAGACAAGGATATCGTGAACAAGAAACCTAAAGGATTACACGTTAGAATATGTGATAGATCAAAATAAAACTCTTCTTACATTGCAATATGATTGATAACACCCCAGATCATTGAAGAGATAGTATAGAGAATCTGAAAGAGAATACATTTACACAACGAGAACAATCAATGCTCGAACATACACTTCGAAACATGTGACCAGAACTTTTTTCTTGCACTATTTGCTTGTGTAAACATACACCCTGGAAATCCACCATTTTCTCTCTAGATACAAAAAACTTTTCGAATCATTTCAACGACAATGCACAGCGAATATTTTACTCGGAGAAGATTTTCTTGGCAACAAGATCTTGCATAACCAAGCCCTCGAATTCACCTAAAAACTTGCCAATATCAGCCTAAAACCAATTCGATACACATTTAATTAGATAAATCAATTTTCGAACATACCGTTCGATCGTCACCTTGCTGTTGACTAATAAACATAATGTATCCATTCTCGTCAATGATGTAACATACACCACTGTCCAATTTACTCTAGAACAGCTTGAAATGAGAATATCAACGATGTTGATCGAAATACATACACATAAATCGGAAAAATGAGTCGAACGAACAGTTTTGTAAGGTAACATAACTCCAAAAACTCCGAAAGGAACATTTTGGGTATTATTCGGTCGATCCATAGATTTGTTCATCCAGATGCCCGTTGTAATGACTAGATACATATGTGATGCAGTAAATGATACACTTTGTCCTTCTACTAACGAAACAAAATATAACATGGAATTCATCAAGAATGAATTACCTGTCGTATTCGTATTATTATCATACGAATTTTCTGCAAAAAAGAAGATGTGAATTGTGATTTTGAAATGAATCTTTATACGTACGTGAATTAGGACCAGGAATACTCGATATTCCGTAGAAAAGTGAATAGATATAATGTTTACCGTGAATATGGTCAGCGCCATAGTAATGTGTAGCATTGATAGTTCGTTCATAATAATTTGATTCAATGGAATTCGGATTCGCATCACCAAATTGTCTAAACTCAAGTCTCATTACATGCAAGAAATTCAGTCTCGAGTTCATACCTGATATGATCTTCGATAGCTTGATTCGACAATCTCCAATAAGCAGTGATACCTGATCGAGTGGCTAAGAAAATCCAGTGGATATGACTTTCGTGTTCATATGATTTGAAATCCAGATAAGCTGATCGTTCGATTGGCTTTTGATGACTACGATCGATGGCACCGTTCTTCGTCCAATTTTCAAACTTGCTCATGATGAACAATTCTTCAATCATCATATAAATCAATTGTTTACTTGCTTTATACGGACCTACGAGAAGATTATTTCAATTAGAGAAGCAATCAGAATCGAATCAAAGCATACATGAACGAATATTCATCGTTTCAATTTTTTCTTTCAAATAATCACGAAATGATTCTTCTGTGTCACCGATATCATCTTCCGCTGTTGAATTACAATAAATCCAATCGGCAATGCGAACATTTCGTTGAAGAATAAAACGAAGTGCTAGAATACAAAACGATCATCTAGTTGCACACTATGTTTTTTTGGAAAAAACAATATCATCTAAGTGATGGCATCAATACAACTAAGTGTTTTAGGAACAAGACAAGACAGCTCTTCATGTACAAATTGATTTTGACAACGTTGGTTTTGTTTTTCTCCTAGTGTTTCTTGTTTATCTCACATCAACTAGAGCGTTTTGTTGAGAAAAGAAGAAGTGCAGAATAATGAACTGTTATACCCGTTTATTACTTTTGTTAAAAGCTCTTCGAGATTTTCGAACAATAGCAATGAGCGGATATGAAGATTTATGATTGTATGCTTTTCATAAACTGTGCGTTGTTTCGAATTGATTACTCTACTATGAAGTTTATCTAAATGTGAATGTGCTCGGTGGCATTGAAACTGAGCGAAAAACAAAACACTATGTGTAATTTGCAAAACTTGTATTGATACTGTACATTGTCTGCGCGTTCTGTTCCGATTCATTCTGACTAATCTAGATAAAATCATCATCTTCAATAAGAAATTGCATTAAATCTAGCTTTATTCTTCTATCACAGAGTATTGCATATGTAAATAAGAAATGATTAAGTCTTTCATGATTGGAATTAGATGAAGCGCGAGCATGTCTCGTGCGTTCTTAGTATGAGAAACAAAAAGCTAATCTTTAAATAGAAATCATCCTATCTCTGCTTGTGACTCTTTGTGTTCATCGTCGATCTTAGTCTATTAGATTTGATCAATGATGTTTCATTGTGAACTATTCGTTACTTGCAGAACGCAAAAGTTCCTTCCGTTCGATGCACTCTTTCCTAATGGAATATGCCCTTTTCGAATGTCGTCTTTTAAGTACTCAACATTTTGGATATGGCTCACTGAGACAATCATTCGTTATTTACATAACAATCGTTTCCTTATGAGACAACAACTCACGAGACGTTCTTCGCGAGATAATTATGAAGAACAAGGAATCGGTCATCGGAGAATTCAATTGTAAATTTCATTTGAACGGGATACAAATTCCGACGAAGCATGATCAAAGCAAATTGACCAGTCATCCGAAAGAATCGTGTCTTGTATGTCATCTCATTGACTGGATTCACAATCGACTCAATGGCACATCGTTTCGAATGAAAATTCAACCTACTAACCTATTTGAGCTTTGTCGGTGTCCGGTTCGGTAGTTCGAACATGATATTCACCATAAGGAAAACGAACAGCAATGCCCAAACTAAAATCAAAATCAAAATTACACTCACTAAAGCACGCGTATCAGTACCTGAAAGGATTCGATTCTTTGTCACCTAAAGTTGCATAGTAATACTTTTGTTCGACAACTTCGATTCGTCGCTAGAAAGAAAAAAAAGGATAATTAGTTCGTTTATACTGGAAATGATCGTACCATATCATCCAAGTGTTTCTTGACTCGAGCTGAACGTTGATTTTCATTGGATAAAATCATATCCTTTCGAATCTATAAATCATCGCACATTAACAATCTCCATTGACCTGATTAGAGATCTTACTGCTTGAATACTACTTGCTGGCAATGGCTACAAAAAGAAGTCTGATGACTGCTGTGATTTGGAAGAAGAGATATGACTTACATGAACGAATCTGATGAGGTTGTCAGGTATTTCTACCATATCTAAGTCAATTGAATGATAGTTTTGTTTTCGATATGGACCCAACTAGATGAGACGCAATTCTTTTGAAAAGAATATTAAATGGCTATATCAAACATACGACAGGCCGTAAATCAGGATGAAACATAAGATAGCCGTTGTGATTAATCATGAATGAATAAGCATGTACTCCGAGCTAAATAGAAATGCGAGGATTACTTTCAAGAAGGAAAGAGAAGTCGACGTCTTTACTCGATATTTTGGTGAGAATTCTTGAATAAGTTT